CAGCTTTCAGGTTTTTCAGCTTCTTCAGATCCCCAATGAAAGGGCTTTAATGGCATATTTTTATCTCAATATGCATTGAGTGAGTGCGTAATAATAAAGTGGAAACTGCCTTTGTTTCTTGAAGGGCCACTTTGTTCTGATTGCGTTTTATTTTCGAAGGCTTTGGCTTTGGACTTTGGAAAAATTGAAACTGCCTTTGTTTTTTCTGCAAGAAAATGAGGTTTCTGTTTTGTATCATGTTTTCTGTTATTAAAAAAAAATTAATATTATGAATAATTTTTAAATTATAATAAAATATTAAATGTGATATCTAAATTTTAAAAATTATAATATATAAATTATAAATTTGATAATTAATATAATATTTGAATTATAAATTTTTACTATTATTAATTAATTTTAAATTTGATACTTAATATAATATTAAAATTAAAATTTTTTTTATTATCTTTTTCAAATTTATCAAACGATAGACTTTTTTCATATACATTTACACATTATGAGATTCATTAAAATGATGTTATTCTGTATCTAATAAATATTTAATTTTTTATAATTTTATATTTAGATTGAATCTATCTACTTATAATCAATTTGTTTTAAGTTGAATATTTAACAAATATTATATTAAAATTTTTAAATTTTAAATGTTATTTTAAATATTTCGATATAATTTAAGAAGTATTTATAATATTAACCTTCTTTTTTAGCAATAATTATAGCCCAATTGAAGTTATTAAATTTTAGATGACTTTTATATATATATATATATATATATATATTTATGAGAATAGAGTTTGCTGGAAGTGGACTTTGGGCAATTGGATTCCCATTGGACCACAAATATTGAAATGATTTTCCTATCTCAATCAAAGTTTAATTTGGTATACAGAAACATGTTGGATTCTTTGCTAAATAATAATGATGTAAAAAGAAAAACAAAACAAAACAAAATAGATGATAAAGGCATGCACCCTTTCAAGCTTTAATCATGGCAAGCTTTAATAATGAAAACCATTAACCCTTTGCTAGTCATTTCCCTCTATTAACCAATTACACAATTTTATGCGTGATTTACATATATATTTGGGCTATTTAATTAATTTTTTACAAAAAAAAAAAAATTTTAAAAACAAAAAATAAATTATAAATGTTGATTTAAATTTCAAATGGAATGTTATTTTTTAAAAAAATAATCGCCTAAATTAATTTAACTAAAATTTTTATATATAATTATATATAATGCATATGTGTTGACACACGTGAAAACTTCATAAATGAACGTTTGTCATGTGAAGGAAGGGTAATAACAATTTGATTCGATTTAATTTGATTTTTTTGAATATTATATAATATTATAAAATTTAAAATCTAATCTAAATTCGAACCGAATTTTTATTCTATCTATATCAAATCGAACCAAATTTTACCGATTAAGTTTGATTTATTGGTTTTTAATTTTTAATTTTTTATATTATTTTAATATAAATTTTTAATATATTTAAGTAGATTTTGAAATAAAATTATTAATTTTATTTTATAAAAATTTAAAATATATATATATATAAAATTCAATTTGGTTTGATTTTTTTTTTATTTTTCGATCCAAAATTTAATCTAAATCTAATATATATACTTAATATCTGAACTTGATCTGAATTTAATAAATATATATATCTGAATCGAACACTACAATTTTAAATTAATTTTTAAATTTTTTAACATTTTTTCTCACCCCTAATGTGAAGTGAAATAGAAGTATCACATGTGCCATTAAGGGCCAAGGAAAAGTTAAGGGTAATATTTTACATATTTTTATAAGGTTTTGTGATCAAGATACAAATTTCATCTTCATTTCGAGGACAAGTTTTTTAAATTATTCTCAAGTTAATTAGACTCTAAGTTGTGCTTTACGAAGACATGAGTTTGAAGAAGTGGAAGTTCAATTTAGGTTAGCTTATTTTTACTTAATTTTTTTTATCTATGATATACTTTGGCAGCCACATCAGTAATTTTTACATTTGGCTTAAAGCATACACTCTATTTGTATAAAAAGCCAAGTAATTATCTAGGAAGTACATATATATATATATATATATATATAATAATGGTAAGGATGTGACCTTGTATGCAAATCACTTTATTCTTTACTACTCTATTTTTCGTTTCTTTCACTTGCTTTTTTTAAAAAAATATTTTATTAATTTGAGTGTTAAAATATGTTTTAAAATGAAATTTGAAAAATATAAGTGATATATATATATATATATATATATAAAGTTAGGTTTCATTCGACTGAATAATGGGTAGGCAGACAAGTTGGCTTTGTGGAAGTTTTGCTTTTCAGGTAAAGTAAAGCTTTCAATCTCCACTTTAACTAAATGGATTCTTTATTTAATTATTGTTTTTGGTTAGATAAATACAACTATCAACATTACATGGAACCAATAACATATTCTTTGTTCATTTCCATTAGAAAATAATAATAATAATAATAATAATAATAATAAGATAAATTTAAAAGTTCTCTTTGAATAAAAACAAGGTGAGAAGGAAAAAAGATTAATTGGAACAAAAAATATATATTATTTCATCTTATTTTATGATTCAATTATGCAATTAAAAAAGTTGTTGTGAAAGTTTAATTTTTTAGATTTTTTTCATGAATTCAATTTCACGAAAGTTTAAAAAATTTTAATGTGACTTAACTATAATCACAATTTTTCAACTGATATCAATATAAATAACGTTAAAGCATATGATAATTTGAAGTAACCGAGTTCTTAAATCATAATTGTTTCTAAGGAAGAAATTAAATTAATGTGGATGAAACTTTAGCTAAAGGGTAGTCATCGAGAACTTCTTATAGTTTGGATAATTTAGGGAACTGATCTTCTTGACATGGAAAGTACCAGCCAGAGAATAATATTATAAGCTTAGAGTTGACTTCAGAATCTCAAATCCCAATGATTAATTAGCTGTACTTTGTAAAGACACTCAAATTTATTAATCTTAAATATAACTAATTAATTAGAGCTTCGATTAAATTAAAGCATAATAAAATAAATTGGCATGCCATATTTTAGCATATTAGAATCACAAATGATAGAAAGGAAATAGTTAAATAAAATCGACTTTGATTTTATTTAAGAATGACGTGGACTAATTTGATAAAGAAGACGAAATAATGAATTAAATTAGAAAAGTGGGGTCGAGTATTATATTAAGTGGGCCAAGTATTATACAATAATGGTATCAAAAATATTTTTGGGAGGGTGATGGTTCTTACCTATTTTAGTGATCAAGGCATCCACATCTTGGTTGCAAGGTCATCGGCACTCAAACATGGTTCAAAGCAGAGACAGGCACACCAACTCAGCTAACCCTGTTCTCACCAGACCAAAAAAGTGAATCAACAAGCTAAACTGTTCAAAAGAGCTCATTTGTCAGCCCTCCCACCATGGGTTTCTCGGCAGTTGGAGCCTTGGGGCTCTCATTATCATGCCAGACAGCAAGAAGGTTGAACGATTGGTTGCCCCCCATCCTAGTTTATGCTTAAAAGCGCATGTTTAAAAGATAGTACATTTATGTATATATGGTTTGTTTATATGTGGCTAGAATCATATCTAAGAAGAGGCTTGTGGCTGTGAATCATGCCCCTAGCTCTATTTTTTTTTTCATTTATTTAGTTTAGTCCAAATTTTCCATGCATGGTGTTTGATAATGATTTAGCCAGAATCATGAAACATGGCACGCGTTTTCAAACTCTAAACCAGGACATTAGACACTAATGAAAATGGTGATTCGAGATAGTGGCCCTTTTCCACAAGTTATAATTAGATGGATTTAAACCCAGGAGGAATGAACCAGTTGATTTGGTCAAGTGTGATTGATGATGATTCCATGTGAAAATGTGAGGTCCGAATCATGTATAGCAGATATCAGAACCAAAACCCAAATATCTATTGGCAGATGCAGAAAGTGGCTAGAACTCAACAATTGCATTACCTGAACGAAGTTTCCTTATAATTTATCAGATTCAAGTTCATCAGCAACATATATATGACCCAAAATGAAATATCAAAACAAGGAGGGAAAAAAACTACCAATATACTTGATAGAAATGAAGCAAAGAGACAGAAAGAAGGAAGGGGTAAACAAGAGAACAGCCAAGAGTATTAATAGCATCACATGCTTTGGGTCCCATAAGCAGCTCATGGCTCATGTAGTAGCCATGTTTTTTTGCTGGCCTTATCTATTAAAACATAGTTATTCGATTTTGTTGACTTAAAATCAAGGCTTAAGGACTTGTTTCTAAGGTTGTTCAAGCCTGTCTTTTTCTTTTAAAGGGCAATATAGTATTTGATCTGATTTTTCTTTTGGCTGTGATTAGAACTGGGTATTATATTACTGATTAGAGGAAAACAAAAAGAAAAAAGAGAAAAGAAAGCAACAACAGATAAGAAAAGAAAGGAAAACTTTGTGATCAACTTTATCCCTTTTGGTGCTAGTTGTTTGGATTCTATGGTTATGGAAAGGGAAAGGTGCTTGGCCTTTTCTGATAAGAATTCAAGTCTATCTGCCAAAGGGCCCCCATGGACTTTTCAGTTTTCCCAAGTTGCGCACAATTTCTATTCTAGCTTGAACACTTCCTCAACCAATCCCATCCAAACTTATTTATGTGAAGCTGAGCAGATTATTGTACCTGCTCCTTTGGCTTCATTCAATTCGGTTTACCTGTACTGCTGGATTTTAACACACAAACAATAACTAACAACTTCGATCCAATCGTTTGCAATTGATGCATGCTTCGAACTAAAGAGAAATAGCATAATGGCAGTGACACTGGATTCTATAACAATTCATGAGAATCAGAGAATCTGCTTTCATTCATACATGAGAATCTACGTCTTTAAAAAAGAAAGTACATAAGATGCTTATCATGGCAGTTTAAGGTAGATTGAGCAAACATTACCCAAGACTTGAAGAGAAGAAGAAGATTAACTTCAGTTCCCAATTTTATTTAAATACAACTGGGATTATGGTACAGAAACTTACTTTGTCCTACCTCTCACCATTTCATATATATTTATGTACAGAACTCGCAAACCATCTAACCGAAAACAAAACAAACAAGAAAAACTGCTCATACCGTCTTTGGCAAATAAAAAAGGAACCCAAAAAAAAGAATAATCAGTTTCTACTTAGCTAAACGCTCTGACTTCAAAGGATATGACGGGAACTCTTGTTCTGTTCTCCTCAGTTGGCCTGCTTTGACAGTTGGTTATAAAGAGGTGATGCTGAATGAATATGACCCAGCAGCTAACAAGTTGGACTGTATTTGCATAGAATAATCAATACCACCAGGCTGTATACAACACCATAAACCAATTAAAAGTCATAATTTACACAATTATGAGCTCTCATGGAAGTTTATTGACCTAGACAATGCTGCAGGATTTGCCTGCAAGACTGGAGAGGCTTCAGGAACCTGATTCCTTTCTTCACCCTTTGATTGAAATGCTTTGAAAAGTCCTCCACCACCTATTGAATCAGATTTATCATTCTTAATGCCAAGTGTAGCCCATATAGAACTCCTCGCTGCTTCTTCCGGATCATCGATCCTCAATGTTTTCGGAATCCAAAGGCATCTCTCAACATTTTTTTCCTTTACCGGTTCCTCTTCTCCAGAGTTGCTAGATTTGCCCATGTTCTCATCTCTTGAATGTTTTCCCAAGGTCGGGGAATTAGGACCAGAACTTGGGGCTGTTTGCTTCGGAGAGGAAGGCTGAGGAAGCCAAGGGACATTCCATGTGCCTGGTACAGTACAACCCCAGTAAGCAGCCGCAGGATAGAAAGGCATAGGAAAGCCTGGAGGGCAGAAAGCAGATGGAGGGACAGGAGAGCTCCATTGAGCTGAATTCCACGGGTAAGGCCAGGGAGCCCCAGGAAAGCATGGCATCTGAGGTGGAAAACCCTGATAATTCCGCATTTGATCTTGTGACCCAGCTTTACCTGCCTCATCCTTTGAAATTGGGACAGATGATCCATTTGACTGCTCAACCCCATTTTCTCCACCTCTACGAGAAACAGGAATCTTTAACTCCTCAGGCTTATGAAACCCATTTTGTGTGGTATTATGCATTGTTTTATCTGCAAGGTTCAAAACAGAAGCCATTGATTCACATAGGGGTGTGTCTGAGCCAAAGGTGAGAACAGTACCATTAGCTTTTAGTGCCGGATGGTAGGCTCCATTAGGAATGTTGGTATGGGCATTCTGCAGGGCTTCGGAGGCAGTTACGTGACGGTAGTGAGAAGCTGAACTCTTGTTCTTGCGGCGTCCAGCGCCCACAGGTACATTCCTCATGGTTCCACCAGCTGTCCAGTATCTCTGGCAGTTCTTGCAAAAGTGTCGGGGTTGATTGACATTGTAATTGTTGAAGTAACAAAACTTGGTATCCATGCTGTTGCAGCGAGGGCACGGAAGAATTTTGTCAGGTTTCTTCAAGGTTCTTTCTTGTGGATTACTTGTCTCACTTTGTTCCTCTTCTGTTTTTGAAGTTTTAGTGATCTCCTTCTCAACAGAAGGTGTTTTAGGGTTGTCACTTGCTCCAGAGATTGTCTCCAAATTTGTAGACTCTCCAGAAGTAACTGGAGGAGCACCATCATCCTGTTTAGATCCATCCTCCTTTCTATCTCCAACTTCCTGTTCAATGTCTGTTGTTTTATCTCCCACAGTGTCCTGAATAATTTGTAGGGGAAAAATAAGCATGAGAACTAAAAAGAGTAGAAGAAAATGTTTACTGTACTTAAAAACAAAAAATAAGTTTTAGACAACTAGAAGGTACAAATCATATCAGAAGTAACTGCATTTTCTTTCATTTCTTGTATTTGCTATGTAGAGAACCAGTTTGACACCAATAGCAACCACAGCATTCTGACAGCTATAATAGAAATTACACCATAGAAGTTGCTTAAGAACTTAAGAATTCATAGAATGTTAAGCAAGGCTCAAAACTCTTCTACTAGCTTTGTCAATGCCAGGATTCAAATATTCCTAATGTATGGTTATGTAACCAAGATAAAGGGAAGTGGCCAAAAAAATCAAGATAAAGGGAAAAAGAATCCTGAAAAGATATCTTGCAACAAAAATTAGGATCATAATGGCTGCAAAGAAACTAGAAATTTCATTTAAGTTTGTATGTATGATTTCTTGGTAATCAGCATGATTACTATGGAAACACAGGAAATTTAGTAGGGCCAAGAAGCAGTTAAAACTGATAGTTACTTTCTTAAGGAATGAGGAGTAAATGTCTGATTCCAGAAGATTGAGCTTTCACTAGATCAGAAAGCTAGCATAACATAAAATACTCATTCAGTACGGTAAGGAACGTAAAAGTACAGGAAACAAAAGAAAGCAGTGGTAAGGGACAGATTATGATATTTGTTTAGACTTTCAATGCTGAGATCCTAACCATAGCATATACTCCTCATAAAATTCAGAGAAAAGAAATCCAGAAAACATTTCTCACAAGCTATAAAAGTCAACTAGATGTAACAACCGCAAATCGTCATATGACTTAATTCAACTGAAAAAGAAAAAATAGGGCTATCAAGCTAAACTATAAATTTCAACGAAGGTAGCCAGAAATTTTTCCTAGAAAAATGAAAAGTGGCGAAACAGTGAATAAGATCCCGAAACCAGTATCCAAAACGATAGAGGAAAAGAAAAGTACCCTATTAAATGCCAAAAATTTAGCAGTCAGGCTGTAAGCTACTACTAACTTCTTTAATTATGCCAATCTATGAACACAGCCAACCAATCTAAAAGCAAATAACCAAGATTTTATTGTGAATAATTGAATTATGCCCAAGAAAACAGTTCTAGGAAACCAATCTTAACTTCCAAAAACCTCAACTTTACTTAAACTAAGAACCAAAATTTAACCAATCCCCCAATAATCAAACATCATTAACTTTCAAAAGCCAACCATTTGTATAGCAAAAACCAAGAACCAAAGACAAACCCATTTTTTATTTCCATATTCTCAACAATGGGTGTTCTTCAAAATTCCAAAAAAATATATATTTCCTTACCTTTTCAGCTTCCCTCTCTGCCCCTTTATTTTCCTCTGGTGAAGAATTTGTAGAACAACAAAGATCTTGATCTTGATCAATATTATCATTGTTGTTGCTATCATCACCACAAGTAGCGCAAAAGTTAGCTGCCGTTGTTGATGCTGCTGCTGCTTTTGGAGATTTCTCAGGCAAAGGAATCGTTTTCCCAAATAATTTGATCGCCGGGTCTTTTGGTTCCGACATTTTGTTTCCTTTGTTTTCTCCCTGTTTGTGCTTTTCTTTTTCCTTTTTTTTTCTCAAATATAAAATTTTTTCTCTAAATCTTCTGCCAAAACAAGATAAAACTGAAACTTTCTAGAGAGAGAAAGTTTTGTAGAAAAAAAAAAAGAAGAAAGAGATAAAAGAGAGAGAGAAACTGATCTGACACGTTTGAGCTGCTTGTGTTGTTGTATTAATTTTTTGTTTTGTTTTTTTTTGTTTTAACGTTTCGTCATAAGAAAAAAAAAAAAAAAAAAAAAAGGTGCGTAATCGTTGTTAGTCCCTTGGAGTCTACGTTTTTTTATCGATTTAGGCAGGTGGGTGCGCCACGTCAGATTAAAGAAAAAATTTTCAGCCACAAGTTCCCTTTGTGGTCTTAAAAGATCTTTCTCTTTCCTCTTTTTGATTTATTTTCCTCTTCCGATCACTTTTTGCAATATCCTAATCAGCAATTATTTTCTTTTATTTTTTTTTTCTTCTACCCTGTTTTTTCCTCTAAACACTTTTTTTAAATTAATATCATATTTTATCTTTTAAAAAAATAATTTTCTTTCAATTACTCGCCAAAACTTTAAACTAATAGATCAACCAAATTCAAGTTCAAGAATTTAATTTATTTCAATTAAATTAAATTAAATATTATATTACTATTGTATTATTAATGAAATTAAAATCTTAATTAATAATCATGTACTTTACCCCATTATAAGCTTTATATCAAACATTCAAACCTTTGATATTGTCAACTATAAAATCTTTTTTTTTTTTGTTATTTGTGGTTGACATTGTAAGTTGGCCCATAGCTCAACTTTCTAGTCCTTTCTTATCTTTTTCCATGGCTCATTAGGTTAGTGGTTGTGATATATCCTACATGAGAGATAAATAAAGTTTTAAATACCATCTTGAAGGTGAATTTATTTTGTTTATTAATACATATTTGAAATTTTCAAACTTAATAGATGACTTAGGTATGTTAAATGTGGATGAGGTGCGACCAAAATCAACCATCATAACCTAACAAAATTAAAAGAATATCTTACTTTTCATATATCCATTTGTTAAGCATTTTAAAATAAATAAAAATTTTCACAATTTTAAGTTTCATTATTTATTATTTCCTACCTTTTTTTTATTTCTATATTATTTTTTAATTTAATATTTTAAAATTTTTAAAATTTTAATCCCAAAAACAAGTACAAAATACATATATCATTCATAACTTAGACACTAATATTTCATTTGAATAATAAATAAAAAAATTTCATCATACCATCATATTATTTCATCATTTAATTTTTAAAAGTTTAATTCAAAATAATATAATAATGTAATAAACAAAATTTCATCAATCAAGACTTAAATCAATTGAAACAAATTCATAAGTCAATAATTCCTTTATTAGTAATTCCAATCTTTTCTCTCCAAATAACAAAAAAAAATTATTTTGTCTTAAAAATAATAATAAAAACCAGCCTTTGTCAAGCATTATCCGATTTTTTGCCGAGTTTTTAAAAAATGGTCCGGCGAAGAAAACCACAGGAAGTATTCTTAGAAAAGTACTAAACCCATAGAAATAGAAATCCACGTCACCGTCCGATTTCAAAGCAGCAGTGAGACGGGCCCCACCAACTATTCTGAGGCCACATATTTTTGCCACAGCAGCACCATATTCTTTCGTGGACCTCACCTCCAAAAGTAATTGACCCTCCCTCTATGTGCTCACACGTGTCCAATTGTGAAAATAATTTTCCTTGTTTTATTTATTTTGCAAAATATAAAATAAAAAAGTAAAAAAAAAAAAGTGCAAATGAAGAATCTCTCTTCCGGTGGCTGAGCATTTTTCCTTGTTAGGTGGAGGAGTGCTCCATAGTTGACACGTGTGACCCGACAAAAAGTTACAGCAGATCTTTTTCGACCTTTACACGTGTGATATTTTTATTTGGTGAAGCAAATTAGGGCAATTAAAAAAGTAAATAAAGGCTAGCCTGACACCTAGTTGACACGTGGAAAAGTTTTTAAATAATCATTTGATATGGATTTTTATATTATTTTATTTTATAACACCATTTCTTGATTATTTTTTCTTTTTGTTTCTTGACTAATTATAACACTTACTAAATTTTGAAAAAAAGAATATTGTTGACACAATATTTTAATTTGAAGTCTTTTTTTAATAATTAATTATTTTATTAAAAATGCTAAATTTTTTTGAATTTTTTAAAAAATTCATATTCATTGACAATGATTTTTTGAACTCCATTTTTAAATTAATACCCTTAAGTATACACTAAAAATAAAAAATAAAAAATATATATGTAATAGTCTCTTAATTTAATATATAAAAAAATTTTACAGAAACATTTTTAATACTTCATTATGAGAAAAAAAAATAAAAATTTTTCTCTAGTGCCTATATCATCAAAATTTTGGTAGCCAATGTTGGATAATTCGAATTGTTTTGGTGGATTTCCTAGTGGATAAGCCTTTTTTATCCTTTAAGACCTTTTTTTTTTTATTTGAAAATGAAAGAGATATTAATAGCCCAAGTTGATCTCATGGATCACTAGTAAGTTGAGACCAATTTCAACAACTGGCCCATTTCTTGTGCTCACTAGCCCATTTTCATGACCTTTTAAGCCCAAAATATGAAGCTTTAGTTTCCCAATGTCTATCAAACTATAATGGCCTTAAAGCCCAAATCTAAGGAGTGAGTTCTAACCGCTTTGGGTTTAGCTTCAAACCAATCAATTTAAACTTTCAAATTTTTTAAAACTAAATAACATCCATGATCCTAAACTTTGAACCGTCTATCATTTTGATTCTTATATTTTTCAAATATTTTTTGTTAGTCTCCACACTCCTAAAGCCATAACGTTTTGGGTCTTCTATAATTGAACCGTCAATTCAAACGCTAAGTGCCTAGCTTACCGTTGATATCATTAATATCACGATGGATGTAATAGAATCGGGTTGAGTCAATATAATAAAAAATTTAAATTTAAATTCAATTTAAAATTTATTATTTAAAATTTGATTTAAATTTAAAATTTAAATTTAATTCGAAATAAAAATTAAGTTATTTGAATTTATTCAATTAAATTCATTTATTAAATAAAAAATAAGCTCAATTATCATATTCAACTTTAAGTTCGATTATTTGTTTTCGCATTCAAGTTTAAATTCACATATATATATATATATATGAGTGAAATAGTAACTTTTAAATTAAAATAATTAAAATATATATTAAAATATAAAATTTTGATTAGACTCATGAATATTTAAATCGGACATTAAAAAGTTTAAATTCAATTCGTTCAATAAATCAAGTTGCTTAAATTTTACTCGATAATAATCAAATCAAACTTAAATTTTATCTAAATTAAATCCAAATAATTTATAAATATTGATATATTATTTACACTTCTAATTAAGATTTTTTTTTTTTTTTGCATTTTAAATATAAATGCTAAACGTCATATGCACATAGTATAGTGAACAACATTTTAACTTTGAGGAATATTACTCAAGCAAAACATAAGTTTAACTTCATTAATGCTATCAAAACTTTCAAGCACAAAGTGGTTAATTTGCCTTTTAGTTAGAAGTAATAATGGTTTAAATCGAATTGAATTCAATTCAAATTTTTAAGATAATATATAATATCATAAATTTTTAAATTTTAATTTAAATTTGAATCGATTTATTTTTAAAATTAATTCAAACTAAATTCTATTGATTCGATTTGATTTATTAATTTATTAATTTTATTTTTATATATTATTTTAATTTTAATACATTTAAATAGATTTATATATAAAATAATTATTTTTATTTTATAAAAATTTTAAAAATATAAAAATTAATAAAAATATATAATTTGATATAATTTTTTATTTTTATATTTCACATATCGATTCAAAATTTAATCTAAATTTAATATAAATATTTAATATTTAAATTTAATCAAAATCAAATAAAAAAATTCTGATCAAATTAAATATAATATTTTTAAATCAATTTTTAATTTTCCCTTTCTTTTTTCATCCCTACTTCTAGTCATGGCTCAAAGGCCCTCTCATAACGTCAACGTCCTCTCTCATACGACATCTATGGCTCCAAAAAGGAGTTTTATTTTCCATGCTTTTCTTCTTTCTTTGAAAGTACCTACCTAGTGGGCGTCTAAAGTAATGGACTTTTGAGTATTGAATTGATTTGAAAAGACGTTTTGGAAAGCAAATTGTAGGATCATGGGAAAACGAATGGAAACACATTAACAAAGTGTCTAAGGTAAAATCATAATTTGATTGAAATATAGGAAAAGTTAATAGGCAATGCGGCATTCCAAATATTTTTTTCATGTGGGAGAAATATAGAAGTGGCCTGTCATTTTCCTTAAAACAACTCTTTTTCCTTCATTCTCCATCTAGCTTTCAAATAAAAAATATGGTCGGTATTTTTTACATTTATATTTATATATATATATATATAATATAATCATAATATTTCAAAATTTATCTGAATTTAATATGTTTTTTTGAAATGATTTTAAAATTTTATTTTTAATACACTCTTCAAAATAATTGAATTTTAATTAATAAAATAAATTATTTTTTTATCAATTGAATTAATTAATGTTGATAGTCGATATTGGTTTTTTTTATAGAAAAAAATGTCATATTTCTTAGAAAGAGAACAAGAAGCATGTGATTTTCCTTCTTTCAATCTTCAATCATGGTTTATTAATGAGTTTTAATTTCCTTTCTTTTTTTCTTGTTATTAAAAGCTTTATTGCCTTTCACATACTTTTGATGATTATCTTGATCATATAGCTCACACTCTCTTAACAAAGGATATATTTAGTAATCATTGAAATGCTTTTTCAACTAAAAATCCTATGGCCGGAAAGGTGAAAATGTCCTTTGATTTCGTTAAAATAAGTCATCATAACATACATTAAAAAAAAAAAATCAACATCATGTTGTGTTGTAGATTAAATCTTGTTTTTAGCATAAGAATCACCTTTGTTTTCATGGTAACAAATCAATTTTATTTATGTTTTTCTTAGTGGAACCTGATATACAAATTTTTAAATCAATTCAAACAAGTTTATTTACATTGTATTTAATAAATTTATGAAAAATTATTTTTTTTATAATTTTTCAATAAATTTGATTTGATTTCAACAAACCAAGAAAGGATGAAACTTTCTTTATCACTTAGTTAATATTATTGGTTTATTTATGTATTTGCCAACTCAATTTTCAAATTTTGTGGTTGCCTTGCATTAGGGTTTAATTTGAAAGACTTTTGTTGTACAAAGGTCATTCAAGCTTATCAAAGATTGGCTATGGCTTAACGTAAGTCACATGCAACTTTAATTTTAAATAATAATTTTTCAAACTTTCTAACTATAGTCAACTTTTGTTGGTATTGACTTTTAATTAGATTTTTTTTTTTTTATATTCGAAGTTGTTCGAGACTGAATTTATCAAGTTTGAAAAGTAATATTTTATTTTTGAGGAATTCCCCTTGAATTCTTTTCTCTTATTTTTATTTTGCATTAGCTTGATTAAAGTAAAATATAATTTTTTTAATATCAATTAAATGTAATAATGTTAATTTTGATTAAATTTTAATTTAAAAAATTTTAAAACTTACAAATAAAATTGGCAGAAACTATCTACTAATATAATGTTCTTAAATTAAAATATAATTACTATGAAATAAACATAAAAGCTTTGCCAATAAATTGCTTAAATAATCATGATAAGGAGATAAATTGAATTATAGAAAATTTTAAATTAAATTAGCACATCAAATAAACATAAAATATAGAGTATAAGATTAAATTAAAAATAAAAAATAATAATGAAATCCCAAACACCAAACATCCTAAAATTATTTTCATTTTATGGTAAATTCAAGTTTTAACCTAAATGAAAATTTTTTAGTTTGAATTCATGAGAAAAATGATAGAAGTGAAAAAAAAGAAGAGTTGAGAATTAATTTTTAATCTTAAAAAGGAAAAAGAAAAAGAGATGGTGCACCAAAGCCCATAGAATACCCCACAAAATCATGAAGACATGATAGGAAACTCTCTTCCCAAAAAGAAAAGCAAAATCCCAAGCCCATTGTAATAATCAAAAGCCCACCAAAAAAAAAAGGAATGGAATTCTTTTTCATTTTTTTTTCTTTAAAAGTGCATGACCCTTCCTTTTTCAACAAAAACAAGCCAAATATTGCTCAAGAATATTTTGTGATAAAAGAAATAAGGCAAGAAGGTAAAATGAAACATTTTTTTTTAAAAATTAATAATTATTTATATTTTTGATATTTTATTGTAACTAATTAAATTTTAAAAATTTTTATTTATAATTAATTCCTTTATTTAATTAAAATTTTAAATGTTTATTTTTATTTAATTAAGATTTTGGTTAGATGAAAATAATTAATTATTTTTTTAATAAAAGTTAAATTGATAAAAATAAATATTTAAAAATTTAATTGATTTTACTTTAGCCAATAATTAACAATGCCAAAAGGTTGAAAAAGACTCTTGCTTTGTCCTTTTCTATCTCGTCTCTCTCTCCCTCTCTCTCAACAGCCGATTAGCCGGCCTTTCTTAAATTAATTCAATTTCCATTCTTCTTCTGCTCCTTATAATTCAATCTCAAATCTCACTTTGGGATTGAAATTTTCCTTTTTTTTTTTTTTAAGGAATTTAATCAATTGGATACTAATTAAATCACCTGATCTTGAGGTGGAAATAATAAAGTTATTTCCTTGTTAAATTTTTATGAGGTGGGTTTGATCTCGATTTGCAGTTTGGTTTGGAGGAAAATTGATAGAGATTCAATTTTTCTTTATTGGGTTATCTTTATTTTTGGATTTAAAATTCTGGGTTTGATTTGAAATGGTCTATTTCCATAGCTCAATCTCAGTCTGCAACTCGGTTGACCAGGCTTCTTCAGCTACAAACATGGCAAATTCTGTGAATTCAAATGATTTTGTGATGAACTTCAAATCACCATCATCATCATCATCATCAAGGAACAACTTTTACAAGAAACAAAAGGTATTCAATTCACCAAGTTGCTTAAAAATTCCATCTTGTGAAAGATCAAGATCTGCTGCAATTGATGTTCTCATCTTAATTGCTGTAATTGCTGCTTGTGGATTCTTGTTGTTCCCAACTATAAAGTGTATATCTTTGAAATTGATTGAATTCACTGGAGCTGCCATTTATTTGGTTAAAGAGGAAATTATGACAGCTCCAATGATATATGGATCTATAGCACTTGGTTTTTTTGGTGCTGCAATAGCTGCTTGGATTTTGCTTCTGTGTGCAACTAGGAAATGCGGGAATCCTAACTGTAAAGGGCTTAGGAAGGCAGCTGAGTTTGATATTCAGTTGGAAACTGAGGAGTGTGTCAAGAACTCCAGCACTTTGGTTAAATATGGTGTTAAAAAAGGACTTTTTGAATTGCCACGGGATCATCATAAGGAATTGGAGGCTGAGCTAAAGAAGATGGCGCCAGTCAACGGAAGAGCAGTGCTTGTGTTTCGAGCTAGGTGTGGATGTTCTGTTGGCAGAATGGAGGTTCCAGGACCCAAGAAGCAAAGAAAGATCAAGAAATAGGATTTTGGGATATGATAGAGAGAGGAATTACAGCAATACAGAAAGTAGTCATAATGCACAGAGGTGTGCCTTCTCTGGTTAGTTTAATCAGAAGCTATGTTGTCTTTAATTAAGCTCTCATGACAATAAGTTGTAAGGATTATATACAGTTGGTTATAGTGGAGAATATAAGAATCCTTACTTTCATTTATTTAATCACTATTTTATGGTAATTTACGTCTTAAAAGCTGACGTGTTGAGTTCTTAGTGTTGTGATTTCTTTTATGTAGTTATAGTTTCTAGAATTTCCTTTTAATCGAATAGGGTGATGATTGAAGTTTGAAACTTTTTAGGTACTAGATTATTATGCCTTTTGTTTAATAATTTGATTAGTGGTGGTGTTAAAATATGAGAAGAAGGTTGTTAAATATTTTCTTTTGCGATGTTGATTATTATGCTTAAGGTAAATATTCAACTAAACTTACGTTAGAGTGCTTGATTCTGCAAAATACTAAGTAGTAACTTTTTTTGCGTACCACATAGTCCATGGTGTTGCATGTTTTTCCTTATGGAAGTCTGTGCTTCAAATTAATTGAGACCACAGGAGTGAGGTATACTTTATGGCTTAACTACAGGGTCTTTTGAATCTCTCTTCATCTGTTTTACTGACAACATATCTGTTTATTCTGTTGATGCCAATAATAGAAACAAGATTCTTCATCTGTTGTCCTATGTATGATCAATCCTCAAATGCTTGCAACATTTCCAATTTCTATTTGATAGATCTGAACTCTTTCCGGTAATTCTGGCAAGAATTGAGGAGTCTTAGGTTGTACTCTTTTGTTTATCCTTGCTAAAACTTCATGCTATGTTACTTATCTTTGGTAGGAAGTATAAGACTTTGCCTACATTTTGAGCTTCATGGTAGTATTTCACAAATAATAATAACTTGGTCTAGTGATTGAGAGAATTATAGCTCATAAGTTTCCTGAACCAGATATTTCCTGAAGGTTAAATGTCTCTTGTGATATCTCATCTGGTATTATCTGCTAAATCTTAATGTTCACTTGTTGTGTAAGTTGGTAGAATATATTCTTTTCTACTTGATTAATGTTTGAATATCTCATCATATCAGTGCAGCAATTGCACTCTTAATATCTTGCTCTTCTCTTATTATCGCATCTAAATCCATCTTCGATGATTTTCAGTGAGTTACATCTCTTATGATGGATCTCCATGTAAAAAAACCGATTCTTATATTGCTTATATTTTCCTTTTTACTGTCACTTAAGATTTTTCTATTATACTAAAAGCGCCTTTCCTTGTGTTGGAATTTACTCCATTAAAGTGAGAAAGGGCAAGATGAACAGCATGATGATATATTGTAAAGGTAGTTTCAGTTGCTTCCTTTCATTTCTTCCCTTTTATGGATCATCGCAATTTATTACTCTGTTTATAGTCCAGCTGGTTCTTATCAGTTTAAGCTGTGAGCTATGAGTCTGGAACCAAAATTCAAAGCAGTAAGACATTTAAAACTCATTTTACGTTTTACGTAATTTTCTTTCAGCATTAGAGGATAAATGGATTTTGCTTTATGTTTTGGTTTAACTATGTTTCAACCTTGTGGTTGTACGTATTGTGTTTATCATTTCTTTTTATCTGGACGAGAGTCATTAATCAGTGTTAAATTTGCTAAATTGTAAATAACTGCTAATTAAATTGGTCAACTTGGTATAGGGCTTTCAAGATCCTATCTGATTTCGTTTAGCTAAGATATTACTGAATCAAACAACCAAAACTTCTAAAGGTAGACCACAAAAGATATGGATTCAAGCAATAAAAAATGATATGAGGATTAAAGAAGTAGATGAAAAGGTTGGTTTTTATAGAAACGTGGCACAAGAAGATTCAAAACTACAACCTAACATGATTCCTTTTTTAGGCCTTTTGTACAGCCAATCCCAGAGTTATGGAATATAAGTCTTAGTTTATTATTATATAACTGAATTAAATGACTTGATGGATTAGCAAAGTCCAAGTGTGCCTTTTTTTTTTTTTTTCTTCTCGGCTATCATATGACAATATGAACTGGATTAATGCAAAAATTAAGGCTTGGAAATTAGATAACCTAAGTTGAGTTGTCGTCAGTGTTAACACCAGAAAGCTCTTAGTTATTATATGATTTATTGACTAAACCTTGGTAATTCCATGTTAGTTATGTTTGTTCATTGCATGCAACACTGGAATTTTTTTGTCTAAATTGATTTGGAACATACTCTTCCAAGAAATTCTTTATCTCATAAAGCAGGGGAGATACAGAAGTGAATGGAATGTTGAAGCTTTACCTTTATATTTATTGCTCGAATGCACTGTACTTCATAAACATTATTTTTCTTTGTTAAAGCTTCTCAATTGAACAATGGTTATTGTTGGCCAATGAAGTGGACAGAGTCAGAGTAAATCCTTGAATCTTTAAGGTAGGAAAGGTAGATATTTGGTGAATTTTGGTGCTTATTTCATTATTTATTTGTATAGTACTTCCCTCTTGAATCCTATTGTACATTCTGCTTTCAAATTTTAAACTTTTTCTACCTTCCCCTTTTGATTCAGAACGCTAAGCGTAAAACATGATGCACCATACCTCTCTGTATTCATTTAACATAGGCGTTGCTAAAAGTTCTCAAATTGATGAAAAATAGGCAGAGTTGAAAGCACTGCATTGCCATTTTCATAGGTTTGAGTGCTCCTTACTACAAATTTTTGTGGAGTTTTGTAAGGCCGGAAAACTGTGGTAAATGACTAAAGGCTTCATTTGGCTACATGGTGGGAAGGGGAGGGGGGGGGGGGGGAATCCCACCGTGCTGTGATGTCGTTTTATGACTGGACCGCTATGGGTCCAGTCATAAAACACAGCTGTGGCACGGTGGGAGTCCCTTTCACCATACCGTCAAATGAAGCCTAAGTGGTAATGGTACAAGTATTCTGCTTATGCAAAGTCTATTCAGAAAATCCGCATACCAACTATGGGCCAATCCTTTAAAAGGAGGTTTTTCTCTCTCCTGAATACCTTGATCATACTTGATCATTGTAAGAAACTCTTATGTTTAGATAATTAATCAGTTAATGTCTGTTCCATGCCTCCTTATTCACCTTGTGATTTGGGAGCAGATGCCAAGGATCAGATGAGAAGTAGTGCTCAGGGAATTGCACGAAACAGATGCTACTTGCTCTTATAACAACTAGAGTAGAGTTTTGTTACAAGATCTTACTTTTTCTCGATGGCTGTTGTATTTAGTTTGTACTTTAGGCTGGTAGCTTCTCTTTTCTATTGCTTTTTTTTTTTTTTAACAAAAAAAGCTGCAACCTGGAAATAGGAGAAGGGCTACGTGAACTGTATCAACCAATTAAACTAAGCTCTGATGCTCTTTTTCTATTGCTTTGCTTTCAGGCTGATAGTACAAGAATAAAGAATGATGGTGATGGAACACTTCAGACAAGCCCGAACCCAAGCTCTTTCCAATCTCGCATTTCCCTGTCAAAGTCAAAGGTTTTGGCTTTAGAATTTGGCAAATGGATGAAATCCCAGGCTTAAAGTTGCTTTTCTTGAAGTTGTTGTTATTAGCACCTGACCTAAAGATTGGAACCAAAACTAGGATCTAGTTTTCTCCTTTCAGTTGGAGAATCAAATGTTTTGTTAGTGATGGCTTTTCATAAATTTAAGATCAGCAGTCATGGAACAAAAATGGACTCAGTTCCAAATTCAATCATAGAGCATAAATTCCAAGTTTTTAGAGGATCAAACATATACATGACATTGCTGGGATGAGCAGTACTTGCATGATTCGATCAGTACACTTAATCATCATCATCATCAGATCATATTTAAAATTTTTATCGTAGTATCAGATCATCGCATGACCTAGAGGTTTAAGCCTAAATAATGCGTCAAAAAAGCACACTAATAAATAAATAAATAATTAAATTTCCTTTCATCTATTTACACTATAGTCCCCTTTCTTCAAGGGCAAAGAATGAAAAAAAAAATACATTTAGCTTAAAAGAAAAGAAAAAAACTGATTTATTTCAGTTGCAATCCATGTCTGTAGCTGAAGAGTCATCTCCATCAACTTGACCCGCATCAGACTGTTCGGGTTCCCCACCCGATCCCGCCATAGCAATCAAACTCGCCAAACTAGCCACAGCTAAAACCGATTGTACAAATCCTAAACCAATCTCCCTACCTTCAAAAGTTCCCAAACCACCGCTACCGCCTCCGCTTTCAGCCTCCTCAGAAGGCATCAAAAACCGACAAACCGGGCATGACCCGTGAATCCCCAGCCACTTCTCAACACAACCCGAATGAAACACGTGCTTGCATGGCATCTCCCTAGCTTCTTCGTCTTCTTTGAACGCTTCCAAACAAATAGAACAATCGATACCACTCCCTTTTACTTTTATCCTCGGCATAGCTTCTATGGAAGCCTTCGAAGCGGGGGCAGGCCCGGGTTTATTGTCCTGGCCGACGCCGACTCCACCGCTGCCAAGGTGGACCACGACGAAGACAACCAGAGGAGGCTCTTGGGATTGGGTAGGAATGTCCGCCATGTGAGTGCAGGGAGATCGGGAAAAGAAACAGATAAAGAAGAATAAAACTTTTTATGGACTAAAAATTGGGAGGAAAGAGAAGATTTTATAGAGGATTTTGGGGGAGCAAGTTCTGGAAAGTTCCGGAAAAATGTAGATTCGAGGATGTTGATGATGTCGTATGAGATTACGTTAAAACGCTGTTAGAAGTTTCCGTTTCATCCGAAAAAACCAGGAAAGATATGGTGACGCGTCAAAGAAGATGACATGTCAGATATTATGTAAACCAAAAGAAATTCAATTTAAAGACAACTCTTTCTTTTGGTTCAAATTATGCAAACGATATTTCTACTCTATTGTTTTCGAAATTGGTTTAATAGTTAAAAACATTTGAAAATATATCAAAGATTTAATTTTGAATTAAATCTCTCTTTTTTTTTTTTATTTGTATTTGAGTTTTGCCTTCTTGATGTAATAAAAAAATATTTATATTCTATTATACTTATACTTGTATTCTATTACGCAAACAATATTTGTATTTTATCAAAATCTAAATTTAATCATTTTATTATAATTAATATAAATGCATTTTTTATATTATTTTGATTTAATAATTTTAGTTTAATTATTAATTTTATAAAATTTTTGTCGATAAAAATGTTAACATAATCATTTATTTGATGATATAGATATTAATTTTATTAACGTGATAATTTAAATAGATGAAATTAATTATTAAATTATATAAATAATTATTGTATTCATATAAAATTTTAATTTTAATTTTTTTAATATAAATTATAAAAATCTTATCTTTAGTACAAATTAAATTTAATAATATTTATCAAATTATTAATACCATCAATTGCTCTCTTTAAAATTAGTTAACGTAACCATTAATTTTTTAGAAAAATAAATGAAAATTCAAAAATTCTAATTTTATTAAAAATTAAAAAATATATATTATTTTTAAAATAAAATTTTAAAATTTTAAAATTTTTGGGAAAATTCAAAAAATTGAAAATTAGTTTTATAATTTCGAAATCTAATTTTGAAAAAATTCTAGAAATATTATTTTTTATAAAATCAAAAAATTAGAAAATTATTAAATTTAATATTTTAAAATTCAGAAAAAATTTTAAATAATTAAAAATTTTGGAATTTTAAAAAAATTAACAATTATGATTTTTTCCAAAAAAAAATTAAAATATTAAAAAATTAAATTTAAAAATATGGAAAAATTCTAAAAAATCTTATATTTTTTAATATTTTTAAAAATTTTTAAAAATATTTTAATTTTTAGATATTTTTCTAAAAAATCAATGATCACATGAACAAAGTTAAATAGAGTAATTGATCGTATTAATAATTGGATCAATATTATCAAATTCAATTTATACAATGTCGGGATTTTTATGAATTATGCTAAAAGAATTAAAATTTAAATTTTGTGTAAATACAAAAACTATTTGTATAAATTAACAATTAGTTTCATTCATCTAAATTGCCTGTTAGTGAAGTTAATTCTTATGTGAACAAAGTTAATACTTCTATACGATCAAATTAACAGGAATGTTAATAATTTTAACGATAAAAATATAATAGAGTTAGTGATTAGAGATTATTTAATCAAAATAGTATGAATATTACATTTGTATACATTTTAATAAAAGAACTAAATTTTAAATATGATAAAGTTCATAATCTGTTGGTATAATTCAATCTTATAAATCTCTCGTGGAATACAATAAAGGAAATTTGAACTTGTGGCTATTTTGATAATCAAAGTGAAGTTATCTTTCTTCTTCTTCTTCTTTTTAAAAATTTTTTTTTACAGGGGGTGAAATTTAAGAAATAAGGAAAAGGAGAATAACAAGTATTGGAGATTGAATTTCAACTTTATAAGAATCTATATTTTATGAAAGTTTGATGAATCGTTTAGATTAAACCCTAAATTTGGTATTTATTTTTAAGTAATGTATATCCTATTATTATTTTGGAGACTAAAAAAATTTTTTTTTGATCAATTAAGATGCCTAACTGAACGACACATATCCCTAATAGTGAGATTTTGAAGCTTTTAATCTTTATAGCCTGGTTATTATTTTTTAAGCCAAACCCTCATTTTTTGTGAAATAAGGACAAGGATTCTTGAACCACCCTCATCAACCCATCAGAGGAAGTAAGCAAAAATTCAAAGATTTAGCATTCATAACTTATTTTCTTTCTTTCAAAAAGGAAAATTGTAAACAAGTTGGTATGTAACAACATGCCATAAGGTTTATGTTTGCTCACCAAATTCTTTTTTTTTTTTTTTGTTGAATTAAGTTGAATGAGTTATAAGACATGATTTTGTAATCAATCGGTTCGTAGATACCATTAAGTTATATTCTTAGTATTTTATTTCAAATTATATAAATTTATTTATTCATGAATCTAATTATTTGTAAACTAAACTAAATTTATGGTATTCATGAATTTAATTAATTGTAAATGAATGTATTTTATTTTTAGTATCATTTAAATTTAATATTTTAAGTATATATTCATATCTACTTTTGAGCAGTATAAATAATCATAAATTAAATCTAATTGTATGAACCTAACTATTAATAATTTATCTATTCATTATAGTATTCATGAACTTAATTAGTTGTGGATAAATATACTTAGTTATTAATATAATTTAAGTTTAACATATTTATTGAATAATATAAATACCCAAGATTCAAATTTAGATTGTTATATTTTAGTTTTTTTTTTTTTTTTGTGTTTGAAAATGTTGTAAAGTATAAGGGTCACGTCTTAAGCGGGCGTGCCAGGCACATCAGATGCACCAGCATGCGAACTAAAAGTTGAGGCCCCCAGATCAGGCCGGCTGAAGGGTATTTGCGCGCAAAGCCTAGAAGACGAGGCCAGAATGCTCGCTCAGCTTGCAGGCCAGCCCGTGAGGCTAAGGCCTGGCATACAGGCTGCCCGCACCACATCCAGAAGGACCCAAAGTGCTAGATACGTAAGTGAAGCTTCAGGAAGCTTGCAGGATCAGCAGGAACCTCCTGACAGATTTGGTTGACTCTAGAAATCAGGAGTTAGAATCCTAATTGATTGTAATCTATGTAATCCCTTGATTTTAGCCTTTATTCTAGGGATATTGTCATTAAGTGTAGCTGGAGCCTCAACTATAAATAAAGGGCTGCTCCACCCTCATTTGTACACCATTAAACACTTCTGTTTCAGTGAATACATAGCATATTTCAGTATTCTGTCTTGTTATCCCGTTTCTCTTTAACTTGCGTAATCAACCATTCTCATTGGATTGTATCAATAGAATTAAGTCTTAATTTTAATTTATGAATCAATTGAGTTTCGATTGAATGAACTTATTAATTTGTTCACATAAAATATTATTTTGCAAATACCTATTATTTATTAATACTAAATAAAATTATGACCCGATTGAAGTCATGTAAATTCTTCTAATAGTTTGTGATATTTAACTAGTGTCAATCTATGATTTTATGAATATTAATTTTCAGAGATTTGAAATTATAAATTATTATTCAACTTTTTTACAAGTGTGAAAAAAAGTTCATAAATATACATAAAAATTGTAATTCATTTTTTCTTATTTCATATCATCTTGAGGTTTCTTAAATAATATAAAAAATAATAAAGAATTAAACTTGATAATTTTAAACACAACATATTGATATGATATAAAAATGATAAAAAAAAAACGACACGATTTAAAAGTTTTAGCAAAAATTGAATATGATTTTTATAAAAATTAAAAATATATTTTGTGTTTAATGTATTGATATAAATTTAATATAATAATTTTTTATATTTTACACGCGTTTAATACGAATATAATATAAATATATGAATTATCAAATATATTAAAAAGATCATTATGAAGGTTACGATAAAGAAATGAACTACATATGTAGTTAATAGTTTGCTTCATTTATATATAAATATGTTTGATCAAAGATATTTAAAAAAAAAAAAATAGTGTTTCTTCACTTTTCTTCATTTAAAGTTTTAGCATATATAAATTTGATAAAATTGCTTTAAATTTGCAAAATCAAATTGAATTGATGTAAAAAAAAACCATTATTCATAAAAGTTTAAAAATTTAGTTTCTAATTCTAAGATTAAAATCTAAAAATTTATTTTTTTATATATTTAAAATTATCAAAAATTAAATCTTAATCATTAAAACTAAAAATCTAATCCTTTATCAATAAACCATACAAATTTTAGGGATTATAAAAACACTTTTACAAAATGTAAAATAAAATATATAACTTAGATTTCACTTATCTAACCCACTTTTTCAGTAGGTAAGTCAAGGGCTCATTTAGCATGGGGTACATCAATGTATTGTCATTGGTTGGAGCCAAACCACCCTTGTCTACTTGGTTTTGAAGGTTTTAATCATTATAACCAATTTATTATTTTTTGAGATAATCCCTCATTATTTTGTGAAGTAAGGAATCTACCCATTAGAAGAAGTGAGCAAAAATTCAAAATATTTAGTAAATACAACTCACAAATAATTTATTTTTAAATATGATAATTTATGTATTTATATTTTATAAAATATTGATAATTTGTGTATATATATTATATTTTATATAAAAATTACATCTTATAATTCGTATCGACTCAAAAAAATAAGTTATATTTTTTGATTTTGTTAAATTTATTTATTGTTTTTGTTAAAATTTTAAATCATATTATTTTTGTATCTTTTGTTTATATCATTGTTATATTGTATTACTATATCATATTTAAAATTATCAAATCTATTTATTTATTTTTCCTTCAAAAAGGAAAAGAGCAAAAAAAGTTGGTATGTAACAACATGGTACAAGCTTTAAGTTTGCTCACCAAATTCCTCTTTTTGATTCAACAAAAATTGAAAATGGCTAAGAACTTTTAATGCAAAGATAAGCAATATTGAAGTCCTTAACTTACCGTACAAGTTGTCATATAGCAAAGTAGTGTACAAGATGCTGCATAATCTTCAAACCAATAAGAATCCTTTGATTGCAAGTAGTGTGAAAGAATATATATTGGTGGTTTTGTTTTCAAAGAGATGGGACATTGTTTTCATAGATATTGACTCTTCATAATAAAAATTAAATAATCATGATCAACCTCAATGTATTTAAAATTTTTCTTGCTTAAAAGTTCTTTTGAAAATCTTAGATGGAAACTAAAAAAAAAGGGATTTATGTTTAATAGTTGTCTTATATCATCTAAATTGATTATAATTATTTTTGTTTAAATATTCATAACTTTGTCATCGAGTTATTAGCACAATAATATTGAAATCGATTTTAAAATTAAAAATCTCGAATTTAAACTTTAATTATAACTTGAAAAAAAAAAATTATAACTTTTTTTAATTAATTTTATTTACTATTTGAATCTCACTATGTGCTAATTCTTGTTCAATTTGGTTTTGGTATTTTCATTCTTGCATCATAATAGATGCAAATAGTTAAAAATTGGACAATTTTTTATTATTTTCACAAAATTACAAATTTTAAGTAGATTAATCTAAAAATAATTGGAGTCGTTTAAGGGGTGAAATTTGGATAAAAATTTTAATTTGGAAACATTCCAATTTTAATATACATTTTTTTTTAATTTTTTGAAAATTTATTTTGAAAGAAAACAAAATTCCCTCTATTTTTTTTTTTATATTACTACATTTTAAGGAAAAAAAAAATCTAGGTGTGGGTTATCAAAGAGAGCAAGAAACAGAATATTGGCTGCGTCACATGCTATTTCACCAGCCGGTTCACATGAACCGGAAGAAGATCCGGTTCAATTCCCCGTTAATTTCACCGAGAAACCCGTCTTTTCGTTTTCGTTTCTTTCTCTATATGGGAACAAAATCATTAAGGAAAAAACTTGAAAAATCTGATTTTGGTAAAATACAGAGAAGGGAGGAGACTATAACTATAAAAGGACACGGGAAAAGATAAAGTTTCGATTTTTTAGTTGTGGGTTTTTCTTTGAAACTCACCAAAAAAATAAAACGAAAAACCTAACTCGCCAGAGCTCCGATAACAGTTGAGATTCCGATGGACTCTTTGGGTCCGAGTCGGTTTGATATCTTCGAGATTTACTGGCGATTCTGTGGTATTTTTTTTCATTTTTCTTTATTTGTTCTTGAGATTTTACTTCTCTATTCTGCCCATTTGTTAGAAAAAAGGAAAATTTAAATGTTTTGCTTTGATGTTCAAAAGGAAAGTTTGAAACTTTTTACATTTTAGGTGAATTTTTTTGGTGAAAAAGATTCGAAATTGGATAAGGGTTTTTGGGTTACATTTGTTGTGTAATAATTGGGGGATGAGAATTGAAAATGTTTTTTTTTTTTTTTTGGGTTCAAATTTTGGTTGAATTGAAGTTTAATTATGGAAAAAATTAATGTAATTGAATACCCAAAAAAAGTTAATAAAAAGAGGAAAATATGGGTAATGTAATTTGGTCTGGTTAAACAAGCGTTTTTTTTTTTGGCCGGTTAAAATGTTCAAAGTTTTGCTCTTTCGCTGATGCTTAAATTTTAGAGTCTCAACTTTTCAGGATTTTTGTGCTGTGATAAGGATGTAACTTTTTTGTTAAAAAAATTTTGGTTTTTTTTTCTTTTTTTTTTTTTGGGGGGGGGGGGGGGGGGAGGTTTCGGAGGTTGAAAGGGCTGTTGCTGTCATTTAGTTAACTTTTGAACTGTCTTGCAGAACTTAGAACAGGAAATGCATATGTTTGTGGTGAAGAAGGCTACCGACAAGATGATGAATCACAAAGATCTAAGTTATCGAGGGAGGCATTGAATCAGCTTTTAAAGATGGTGGAGTCAAGGATGATCACAAGGTAGTCAACATATGTATGTAGAAGTTTATCGCGTTTAGTTTGCCTTTAAGGAGATTAGAGAATTGGTTGATGAGTCTTATCACACCTGACAATTGTTGGCATGAAAGAACCAGTTTGATATTCAAGGGATGCCATGTGAACTTAATATCGTTCTTGGCAGTTATTGTCTAAGATACATTTGATTTAGCTGCAATTTTTGGAATCTGCGAATCCCATCTTAAGGTTGAATTTTGTAGACTCTAGCTTGATCCTGAGTTCCTTGAGTGGCAATTGCTGTCCTAGAACATGTTATACATCCTAATGTTTATAGACTACGGCTGTATTATTTATGATTATGTGTAAACCTGTGAAAACTTTAATCTAATAGTTGAATGAAAAAGGTATTATGCCCCAAGACATTCTCAAAGGGAGGTGAATGGCAGGAAAAGATTCTGTAGCCAGTCTTCTTAATTGGTTATTTGGTCATAATTCAGCTTGATTGTTGCATTTCAATATTTTTATTTATCCTTTGACAGGACTGCAATCTTTGATGAACTTCTCAAGCTGATGCTACAACTAGACTTGACGGTGAGATATGTCTTCATTGAAGTTCTTTGAGGGATGGATTTAACTAGAATTTTAGACTTTAGTATCAAGTATCTTTACAGCTCTTCATTGTTGGTGCATTGATTTTATTTTCTGATGTCGTGTTTCCATACAAGGTGGACTTTTCTGAATTCTCGCGCTTCTATGATTTTGTTTTCTTTATATGCCGAGAAAATGGTCAAAAGAATATTAGTAAGTTATCTCATACTACTTAGTTAAGTGCAAATGCTTTTATTGATTTATCCTTGGAATAAATATTGAGGCTATCTAAGCTGTAAATTACAAGGAATTTTTTTTGGTGTTGTATTTAAATCTCTTCTTTTTTGGCGTGATTGATAGCTGTAAGCAGGGCAATTGCTGCATGGAGATTAGTATTAGCGGGCAGGTTTCGATTGCTTAACCAATGGTGTGACTTTGTTGAGGTATGAGTATGACTGATACTGAGTTTCTAACACTTTATGTTTGTCTCAAAGGCATCTTGTGAAACTCTTGGTTGTTGTTCCAATGTCTAAGACCACTTTAATTTTTGCATCAAACTTTCTTTAGAATTGCGATATTGGTTGTTACGTGTACTTCATAAATGATTTATTATTACCATAATAGGTGGAAGATGTTATCTAGCACTCATTTTATCATATAGGGAGTGACTTGTCTGGCGCTGCAGTCTCAATTGTTAGTGAACAAGAAGCATTCTAAAATTTTTTAGTTTAGTTGCCTTATGCGTGCCTTTGAAAATCCTTATACAGGCCTGCTATGCTGTGCATGCCAAGTATGTGAATATGGATGGTGATCGACTCTTAGGCTGTACATGTTTTCTGTTCCTGCACTATTACTTCAAATTGAAAGTATATATCTGCTCTATTACTGTCAGTCTTTTGATTAAGGCAACTAATGTCTTTGATTTCCTTTTAGGAAAATCAGCATCACAATGTTTCTGAGGATACTTGGCAGCAAGTTTTAGCTTTTAGTAGGTGTGTGCATGAAAATCTGGAAGGGTATGATCCTGAAGGTATTAAGTTTACCTAAATCTGTCCTCTGGCCTCTCGTGTATCTGTGCTACTTGAATCTTAGTTGTTTGGTTATTATGCAGGTGCTTGGCCTGTTCTGATTGATGACTTTGTTGAGCATATGTACAGGTTTGGTTTCTATATCTTCAGCACTTTAGGTGATCATGGGAAATTTGATGGCTATTTCTTTATTACTCAGTTTATTCTAGGTTACAATTCCAAACTCTAATTGTGATCTTTTTAGTCTTTTTTCATATCATCCTTCTACTTATTATCTTTTCATTTTTGTATTTTTACTGAATAACTTATATGATCACTTGCTCATAATCATTTTTTGTATTGACTAGTAACCATGGCTTGTGTTATTGGTTCATTCATGATCCCGACAGAATGTTTTAATGAGAACAGTGTTATTTTATGCGCATTGTGCCTAGATGCCTTACAGCCCTTCCTTTCTCTGCTCTCTTCCCATTGCAGACTTTCAGGGTCCAACAAAGATTCAAATGTTTTCTGTAGCTGTGGTGATTCAGAGTACCAGTTATGCGCAGATGAGGACACCTTGCCTGGTATGTCAAATATTAGCTTTCACGTCCACCTTTGTATAAGTTTCCTACTTTTATGGACTGCAATAGATAATTGATGTTATTATAATGATATCATGTGGCAGGCTTAAGAGTATTTCCCGGGTTGAAGAGGAAATTGCCTGAATGTCCTGAGGATGAAATGGAGTCCTTAGATTCACACTTCTCAATCTCTCCAGACCTGAATTGCACATTGAATTCTAAGAGAAGTAGGTCGATCGCACACAGATCAGCTAAAAGGGAAGATAATACTCCCCAGAATTCATCTGATGACTGCATGGAAATTGTTAAACACAGTAGTCCAATGGGTTCTTCCAAGTCTCTGTGTGCGATTGAAGGTTACCTGTCTAAGGGTTTTGCTGGGCTCTTATCGAGCCGGTCGTATTTTGCAGTTTGATCAGTAAAGAAGTATTACCTATACATAAAGCTCCCACCCGAGTTACAATTATAGAAAGAATATGTCCTTTGCAATTCAATGATTTAGATATATTCATATGTTGGCTGGGGGTAAGATAACAGTTTGCCAACATTTTCGGATGATTTTGTGGGTTAATTTCTTAATTTTCTCTTGGGACGTTTGTGCGGTTGTCATTTTTTTGTTTCTGGTACTTGAGGTTGTAAGGGTTTGAATTGAATGATGTTATTGAAATTAAAAGTCTAGCATATTATCAACTCTTCATGCGGCTGTTTTTGTGCTGCCATTGGTTTGTTCATGCATGCTGCGAACACATTTTTGTCTAAAATAAAATAATAATAATAATAATAAAATTAATAAACTAAAATAAATAAAATAGGTCAAAAGTCAAAAATTATTTTAACTCTCAACTGAAATCAAGTTATCAAAAGGTTTGTTTTTTTTTCTTTTTCTTCCCCAAAGTGCATTTAATGCATTGAAAGCACTACATCTGTTTAATTTGGCAACAAAAATCAGACCACCAAAAGTTTACTAGTTATTGTGAAAATTATCAGGCTCTTGAAAATTTAGAATTTAATTCCCAAAAAATTTAGGATTTGAATCTCAAAAAATTTTATAAATATTTCACTCTTCTTGCAAGCAAGAGAGAATAAATGGGGTGAACATGGAAAAAAAAAAAAAAACAGAGGGATGGGGAGGATTTTTTTTTTTTTTTTGAAACTAATGGGATCAAAAAACACACATACACACAAAAAATCAGTCCTCTATGAATGAAGGAACTAGCAGCAAAAAACAAAAAAAAATTTCAAAAACAAAAATGAAAACCTATAACAAAATTCTTGATTTAGGCTGTTTGAGATTTTTTTTGAAGCATCTAGTTTAAGAAAAATGATTAAAAAGTCAAGGAGAGTGTTTTAGAAATTTTTGGGAATTTTTCAAAATTTTTTTTATAGTCGTCGAAATCTAAAAAACTTAAATTTTTTGATCATCAAAAACTGAAAAAATGACTCGAGACTGCAATTGTTAAATTTTCTAATGCAGTTGAAAATTCTGGCCACCAGTGCATGGTGACGATTGGTGGCTGTTGGCAAAAAGGGGATTGGTTAAAGAGAGAGGATCTGGAGTTTAGAGAGAGAGAGAAGGGAAAGGAAAAATGAAATAAAAATTTAATTTTTGGGCCTCTTATAGCCTTGCTGTTACGGCTTTTGGATTCAACCCAACCCATTTTAGGATTCGCCCCTTGATCCGTGTCTAACTCGACTTGTTTGGTGAAATTTTATATTATTTTTTTGATTTGATTTGATTTTTGTTATTTATTTAAAATTTTTTTAAAATTTATAATTATGATTTATAATATTTATATATTTGTATATATTTTTTACTAAAAATAAATAATTATCATTAATAATAAAAAATGTAAAGCAATAAAAAAATAAATACTAATATTTTAATTTAAAATAAAAAGATAAACAAAATAATAATAATATTAAGGAAAAATAAAAAGAGCTTTTTTTTTTCATAATTTTACAAATAAAAAAATATTTCTTGAATTTTATCAAAGTATTGAGATAATTCAAGAAATTATTTTTACTAAAAAAATACTAATAACAATTATTTATCTTTTTAAAAACACAATATTTAAAAAATTTGAAAGAGTTCAATTTTTTGTACTTAATGCAAATAAAAAATATTTTTAAATTTCATCAATGAGTGGAGATAATCTAAAAGTTATTTTTTATTAAAATAAAATTTGTTTCAATAAAAAAGAAACAATAAAATTAATAAAAGTATTTGTTTAAATAAACTTCTTAACTATTACAAAAAAAATTTCACCAAAAGTTGGGATAATTCAGAAAGTTATATTTTTGCTAAATAAGGATTTATTTAAATAAAAAATGATGAAAATTAATTAATAATAAATAAAAAATTAATTGTTTAGATGAATATCTTAAGTAAAAATTTTAAGAAAAATTAAAATTTTTTAAATTATCATGAAAAGAAAGGTTTTTTTTTTTTGATCTCACTAAAAAGTTGGATGATCTTAAAATCAGTTTAAAATTTTTAAGATTTTGTCAAAAAGTTGAGAAAATCCTAAAAATAGGAAAAAATTAGAAAAATAATTTTGGATCTTGTTAAAAAGTCGAGACAATTCTAAAATCAATTTAATAAATAAATAAATAAATATCTTATAACGAAATTTCAAAAATTTTGTAAATGATTAATTTTTTTGAATAAAAAATTTTCTATAAATTTCACTAAAATATTGAAGAATTTATAAAATAATAATAATTTCTCAAAATAAAAAATATTTTGCATAAAGAAAATTTTAAAGGAGTTAAATTTAAAAATCTTAAAAGACTATATCATTAAAATTAAAAGATAACATATGTTTAATTAGTATTATTTTTTGAACCGGTGACATAAGGGTATCAATACGTTCTTCATTCATAACAGTATTTTCGGATCCAATTTTGATTTCGTAGATCAAAATATTTTTTTAATAAATTTTAATTAATTTTAAAATTCTTATTAAAAGATGATATTTTTGGATAATCAATCCCACTCTATAAATAAAAAAATATTGACGACAACTCCAAAATTTTTTATCAAATTTAATGATTGAATCTTTTGGAGAAAAAATCGTTATGACGAATGCCACATTCTTGTTCTGTTGCAATCCAGAAATTAATAAAAGAACTATATTAGATATGCTTTATCCTTCAAGTTTTTCTTTTTTTTTTTCCTTCAATTTTAAGATTGTTGCCGAAAAAATACACCAACGTTCCTATGCCGAAACAATTAAAAGAAAATAAATAAATAAATTGAAGAAGAAGTCAATGGAAAGCAGATCATTGGAATGTTGGAAGTAGGTATTTTGTTGCTCCCTTCCATTGGAACACAACGTTTAGACTAAACCAAAAAATGATCAGAGAGCGATTGCTTGGGGTCTGCATTGGCATTTTAAAATGATGTGCTGAAGAAAATAATCGAAGGCTTGGTGCTTTGTAGATCTTTACAGCTCTTAATGAGACTATGAGCAAGTCTACCTAAGAAAGTATTATCAGAAAAAAAAAAGATATATTTTTTTATTTTTATATTTGAGGTTATAAAAGATTAAATTTTGATAATTGGAATAAAGTCTAACACACTTTATCAGCAGATTATATGATTCGTAAAAAAAGAAAAATTTCTCTTGCAATTGATTAAAGCCTAAGAGTGGCTAAAACCATTAATATAATAAAGATGAAAACAAAACACTCCTCATGTTAATAGGTTTCGAATCAAAGGCCGAAGGGCATTAGAATGTGGCAAATAACATTCTTTTACGTTTCTTCAATCATCTCTTACAGAAGATGGTGCAATTTGACTGATACAGCACCTTTAACATCTTCAGGAACAATCTCAGGCGCTGCAATTACTTCAAAACAGGCTTTACGCCAACCTACTTAGCTAGCAATAGAAGGCCAAAATGATATATGGCTCATTGAGAACAAACAGCGAGCATTGGTATTTGACAGCGAGGACCTCCTTATACTTCTAAGCAGCATTGTCCCAGCTGAGATCTTGCATCATACCCCGTTTTTGGAGTCCTTCCCAACTCTCTTTATACTGTCGATAAGTCAATAAGCAGTTTCCGAATGCATGTATCAACTTATTTGCATCAGGACTAACAATGCCCAACCAAGCCCTTACTTTTCAAATGGATTGGAAGGCTGCACAGTGTCCCTTAATCCGCCGATGGATTGGACAACCGGAATTGTTGCATAGCTCATAGCATACGGTTGGTTCAGTCCACAGGGTTAAAATATTGATGGCAGGAGTAAACTATCAGCCCCGGCCGTTATACGATGAATTGTCTTTACAGAAAACCCAACCCATCCCGACTTTGTCATGATGTTGGTTTTCAAACTGCCTAAGCATCTATTCTAGGTCAGGTCCGCCAATGCCTAACATGATAATTGCACATCCTCGCCCATAATCCAGGGAATAGCCTCAGCAATTAGATCAAAACCTTTTTGCTGATCCAGTATCCCAATAAAACCAATCAGGGGGACATCTTCACGAACGGGCAGCCCAAGCTCCTTTTGCAAAGATATTGAAGTGCTCACCTCCAATGGGGTCATATAACTTGAAAAGATCCATGAAATGTTCTGGTAGATCCACATAGTAGAAATCCTCCACAGGCCCCCGACCCTGAATACAATTTATCAGTTAGAATAGGCTACAAAGAAATTCAAAAAATTAATCTCTGAAATCAGTTCTGGTAATAGCGTCCAAAAGTTTAAAGCAGAATTATATTCTTGACTTGGACATTTTAAGAAACAGAAAAACTAAATTATGTTTTCAGCTCAGCAAATGTTTATTCTCCAATCTCTCTCTTTTGGCAGATTAATTCATGTACTCAGTTGCAACAAAGTAGCAAATGCATTATAGTTGTCCTCCATATAAACTAAACTTCAAGAGAGAATTGTGGATAAGCCATGTACAGTCATTCATGATTTGGGAAAGTTCTATGTGCTCTCTTTGTTTAAGTAGGCAATACAAAATAACAAATTGATTTGGTATATAATTCTGTGTGTTAAATCAAGCAAAGAATTGAGATAAATATGTGAATACACTTGGACATTAGTTCTTTATTTCAACTAAATACAAAGCAAAAATATCAATGAACAGATTCCTTTTTGACTATAAAAGATCACATCAGGCTAATTATCATGGCAGAGAACAAACCTGGTGAGCAATATTATGGATAACAATAATGGATCTAGTGAAGTACATAAAACCATTGTGCCGATAATAAGCCTTCAAGTACACTGGCAACAAGGCAATGTGCCAATCATTAGCGATGGAAACCAGATTTCCATTTCCATAGCAGACACCCCCACATGGAGCATGCCAAGGAACCCGAAAAAACCCTAACTTCTTCACTTTATGACTTTAATAATATAGTCAGTCAATTATATTCAACCAAAAATGAGGCTATGCCAGAAAAGAAGAAAACGAACTCAAGAAGACCTTGTGTTTATCAAGAATAATATATGTAAAAACCATTCTAGCATAGGAAGTAAGAAGCATCGGGTCCAGACTGTGACCAACGTGATTTTTAATTTTTTTGACGTTTCCGACACGTATTTCGGCGTGTCAACGGCACCGATACGGAAGAGTTGAAGCTGTATCCGTGCTTCATAGCAGCCTATCAATAGCTTCAAAAACCATCCATTGTTTCCATGGCCTAGATTGCTTGTTACACACACAACTTACTGCCACCATTATATAATCAGATTCGCAATCTTTTTCTCCAAAACAGTTTTAATAGCTTTCTACAACATTTGATTCTGTTCACCGAGCGGGCTGTAGAATTATTGGGAAAAAATCAACACGTATATAATATTTACACATAAAATAACAAATTTAAAATAAGAATAAGAATACAAATATATATATATTTGTATTGTCCGACTCAAAATAATTTACTTTAAATTTAATATATTAATAAATAAAATTTTACAATTATGACTTTTGGCATAAAAAAAATTATCAAAATTTTTTTACTCAAAATTAACTCAAAATCCAATTGCACTCTTTTAATAATTTATTTATTTAATTATTTTTTTGATGTTTAATTATATGAAATTATCAAACTAAAATAAAAGTATCTTTTTTATAAGAGTAAAACTCTTATAATTTTACCAAACTCTTAATATAAAATATAAAACAAACTCTTAACTCTTATAATTTTACTCAATTTATTTTTAATATGGGATTAAAAGATTCAAAGTAAACCAAAAATAATCCTAGTATATCTCCCCTTGAATTACTTAAGACCCAACCACATCCGGCATGCTCTAGTTTTCCCCTGGCTGATCCATCCCCATTGAATTTTAGAACATCATCGGACGGACAAGACCACTCCACCCCTTTTCTTGGATTAAGCTTGGGATTTAAACACCATTCAGCAAACTGCATCTTTCAATGGCTTTCACCCTAAAACAGAGACCTCAATTTAATGAGAAATAGAATTCCTTCGCACCCCATTGAGAACCGTCTCATTCCTATTCACCTTCAATGGCTGCTTTGTGGCCTCGACGACAGCCAGTAAATCAGGCAGGCACCGTGTACTGATGACTCACATATTTGTAACTAACTTTCATCTCTACTGACAAAGCATCCTTCTCGAAATTGATGCAACACTTAAATTGAACAGTTCTCATATTCAATACATTATGATATTGAATATGAAACATCTCTCTGGAAAATTTTTCATTTTCTTGGCTGTACTGGTGATCAAGAACAAGCTCGAAATCACTCAATTCTGAGCCAGCAGTTCTTGAATAAAGAAAGAAGAGAAAAACGAAAAGGATGAAGGGACCAACGAAGCTAATTGAAAGGGCTTGTTTAAAGGGATTGAACGACATGACAAATCCTTGAAGCTAGAGGTGTTGGTTTTGAGGGATCACAGTGGTGTCAAGTGTGTTTCAATATTAATTGATTTTCTTGCATTTATGTGTTTCAATAAGCCAATTTTTTACGCAATTCTGCGTTATATTTAAGCTAAGATGACTTTTCTGGATTAAAGCAATTGAAGGAGGGACCTTGGTTGATGAATCGGTATAACATTTTAATTACAATGCATAAAATTAAAATACACACAAAAATAAATAAAACCATATAACCGGATTCAATAATTATAGCATTCCTAGTAACCCAAGGAAAAAATGAAAATGCCTTCAAAACAGTTTTAATAGCTAAATCTCTACAACATTTGATTCTGTTCACCGAGCGGACAATAGAATAAGCCTCGTATATCTTCCCTTGAATCCCTTAAGACCCCACCACATCCGGCGTGCTCTTGTTTTGCCCTTGCTGATCCATCCACATTGAATTTTAGAACATTATCAGACGGACAAGACCACTCCACCCCTTTTCCTGGATTAAGCTTCATATGACCTATTCCCAACTGCCTGGGATTTAAACACCATTCAGCAAACTGCACCCTTCAATGGCTTTCACCCTAAAACGGAGACCTTTATTTAATGAGAAAAAGAATTCCTTCGCACCCCATTGAGAGCCGTCTCATTCCTAATCATCTTCAATGGCTGCTTAGAGGCCTTGACGAGAGCAAGTAAAACAGGCAGGCACCGTATACTGATGACTCACATATTTGTAAGTAACTTTCATCTCTATTGACAAAGCATGCTCCCCGAAATTGATGTAACACTTAAATTGAACAGTTCTCACGTTCAATTCATTATGGTATTGAATATGAAACATCTTTGTGGATTTTTTTTCATTTTCTTGGCTGTGCTGGTGATCAAGAACAAGTTCGAAATCACTCAATTCTGAGCCATCAGTACTTGAATAGAGAAAGAAGAGAAAAACCAAAAGGATGAAGGGACCAATGAAGCTAATTGAAAGGGCTTGTTTAAAGGGATTGAACGGCATTACAAATCCTTAAAGCTAGAGGCGTTAGTTTTTGAGGGATCACAGTGGTGGAAATTGTGTTTCAATATCGCTGGATTTTCACCTGTTACTGTTTTTAAATGAGCCAATCATTGAAGGCAATTCTGCGTTAAATATAAGCTAAGATGACTTTTCTGGATTAAAGCAATTGAAGGACGGACCTTGGTTGATGAATCGGTATAACATTTTAATTACAATGCATAAAATTAAAATACACACAAAAATAAATAAAACCATATAACCGGATTCAATAATTATAGCATTCCTAGTAACCCAAGGAAAAAATGAAAATGCCTTCAAAACAGTTTTAATAGCTAAATCTCTACAACATTTGATTCTGTTCACCGAGCGGACAATAGAATAAGCCTCGTATATCTTCCCTTGAATCCCTTAAGACCCCACCACATCCGGCGTGCTCTTGTTTTGCCCTTGCTGATCCATCCACATTGAATTTAGAACATTATCAGACGGACAAGACCACTCCACCCCTTTTCCTGGATTAAGCTTCATATGACCTATTCCCAACTGCCTGGGATTTAAACACCATTCAGCAAACTGCACCCTTCAATGGCTTTCACCCTAAAACGGAGACCTTTATTTAATGAGAAAAAGAATTCCTTCGCACCCCATTGAGAACCGTCTCATTCCTAATCATCTTCAATGGCTGCTTAGTGGCCTTGACGAGAGCAAGTAAAACAGGCAGGCACCGTATACTGATGACTCACATATTTGTAAGTAACTTTCATCTCTATTGACAAAGCATGCTCCCCGAAATTGATGTAACACTTAAATTGAACAGTTCTCATATTCAATTCATTATGGTATTGAATATGAAACATCTTTATGGATTTTTTTTCATTTTCTTGGCTGTGCTGGTGATCAAGAACAAGTTCGAAATCACTCAATTCTGAGCCATCAGTACTTGAATAGAGAAAGAAGAGAAAAACCAAAAGGATGAAGGGACCAATGAAGCTAATTGAAAGGGCTTGTTTAAAGGGATTGAACGGCATTACAAATCCTTAAAGCTAGAGGCGTTAGTTTTTGAGGGATCACAGTGGTGGAAATTGTGTTTCAATATCGCTGGATTTTCACCTGTTACTGTTTTTAAATGAGCCAATCATTGAAGGCAATTCTGCGTTAAATATAAGCTAAGATGACTTTTCTGGATTAAAGCAATTGAAGGACGGACCTTGGTTGATGAATCGGTATAACATTTTAATTACAATGCATAAAAGTAAAATACACAAAAAAAAACATATAATATTTTAATTTGAGGACTCGATTCATATTTATTCAATATAAATATATATCATTACATAAAGAATTTTCCAAAATTTTTGGGGCTTGGATACTGTTATGTTTCGCCTCGATTCAAATACAAGATACTATCTTTATCGCCTGTATAATTGCAACAAGGTGCTCAAATACAAATATTTATATACCTTTTCATTTTACTTAATTAGGACAAAACATTTGAACTTAGCTGATTAAAAGAATGAAATGAAAATTCACGTGCCAAGATGTGGAAAACCATATGGCCGCCAAAAAATTAGGGTCTAGCACTATGTATTAATGCACTTGAACGATGTGGGGCATTTGCATGCAACCACCCTTTTCTAATGAAAATTTTGAAAATATATTATATTACTTATCTAAAAAATAGAAGTAGTAAAGAAATAAAGATTATTATTTTGGAATAATTTTTTTTTTTAAAAGAACAATAACATGTAAAGAATGGGCCATCCCATTAGTTTCTCTAAAACATATACATGATTTAGTTATAAATAAAAATGATCATTAGCATATCATATAAATTATATCATGTTGTATTTACCACACGAAGTCATTTAAATTATATTTTAATCTATAATAATTATATCATATTACCATTAATCAGCTTTTGTATCTTTTATTTTTTATCATATCAATGATTTTTATAAAATGAATATCCATGTTTTACTTGGCATGGAAATTTAGAAAAATATCTTGACTTTAATGATTTTAATAGATAAAATTATTATACTATTGATAAACTATAATTTTTAATGTTAAACAAAAAATAATTAAAAACAAATCCAAAATATTTAAAAAGTAATGATTGTTGGCATTAAAAAAAGTAACATAATTTTGAGACAATAAAAATGGAAATTAAGTCGAAAAAAGGGAATTTGTTTTTAAATTATTTATTAATTTTGTTTATATTTTAGTAGTTCTAATGTGAAATTATTTTTTATAAATTATATCATATCTTTTACTTTTTTTTCTTTTTACTTTATAACTTCAAAATATGCAAAACCTTTTTCATCCATCTTTTATCTTGTTTCCCTTCTTTATTATATTTATTTCATTTAATAATGATGATTTAATTATTTTATAATATTTTTATTTATAATAAATTATATTATTTGAAAATTAGTGAAATTGATTTAAATAAAAAAATTAATTTAAATAGTAAAGTAAAAATTCAAAGCTTTTTTTTAATAATCTAACAAAAATGAAAGTTTGTCTACGGACAAATATCGGTAGTTTTGACATATAACCAAAAAAACAAAGGGATAAAATTTTTAAGTTTTTAGATTTATGATGTCAACTAGGGGTGTAAATGATACATTAGTATTCGCAAGTTACTCGGGTTTGATTCGAAAAAAATTTGAATTCAGTTCAATTATTGTCGAGTCGAGCTCGAGCTCGAGTAGCTCGACTTATCGATCGAGCCGAATTCCAGTATTCTTATATCTGACTCGAGTAACTCGCGAGCCTAATCGAGCTTTTATATTTAAATATATTTTTATTTTTTTTAATTAATAAAATATTTCGAATCCGAGTTCGAGTTCGAGCATGAATAATCGAACTCTTGTTGAGTATACGAATCGAGCTTATTTTTACATATTAATCGAGCTTAATCGAGCGAACTCGAGTAGTTCGAATTCGATCACGAATTGAGCTCGAGCTTGAAAAATAAAACTCGATCGAACTCGAGCCGAGTATTAAGCCCCGAGTTGTGAGTCGAGCTCGAGCTCGAGCTTTTCACTACTCGGCTCGGCTAGGCTCGTTTACAGCCCTAATGTCAACTTTAAAGTCTTGATTATCTTAATCTATAAATCAATATATCGAAATAATTATACCACTGGAAAGAACATATTGTTATTATAAAAAACACACAAACATCAACTCAATCGGTCATTGGAAAGTGAATTTTCAATTACTCAAAAGTTGGATGTTTGAAATTATCAAATACAAAAAATTAGTTAATTTCAAAATTTTCATTCTCCTAAATTATTTAATTAAATGAAATGTGTCACATTATATTAAAAATGTATTAAGGAGTCCTTTTCATAGATATCCACAATTTCTATGAAATCTCACCTGAAGGTCATCAAAATTTTGAGAAGTTGAAAAGGTTTAAAACAAAATTGATTTTTGTAAAAAAATACTCAAAACATAGAAATTTCAAGAATTGAGTCTTGTGGTAAGAAGGAAGGTTGAGTTACTGGGGGTTATCTTTTGTAATAATTGATTTTATCATTTACGAATTGTACTCTCTATTGCATCATGTTTCTAACGAAATCAAATCTGATTTAGCAAAAAAGATTACCTGGCTTTTTTAACTTTAAATGATCAGGGGCAGTAGGGCTTCGACCAGGATCACCAAAGTAAAACTAGCTGCCCCAATTCCCACCCTTTCCAATTTGTACATCATAGCAGTTGGATTGCTGAGTTAAAGTCCCAATACCTTTTAGGAACCCTGAGATTGTGGGATTCGTTAACAATTTGGAATATTTTAAAAGCAACAAGCTTTCCCGAAACCTTCGTTTGGGAAATGACTACTACCCAATTACGTTGAAGTATGCTCTACATATTCTGAGTTTAATCAAATTAATATATATAAAAATCTATATGTATAATTTGTATACCATTGATAAACTATAATTTTTAAATGTTAAACATAAAAATAATTATTATGTGATATACAGATGTTATATATATTAAAATAATTGTAATTTTTGTTTTGTTTTAAATTAAAATTCGAAAATAAATAAATTTTTTAATTTTTTAAATTAAAATAAAATATTTCATATTTAATAATTTAAAATAAATAATTAAAATTTATATATTTAAAATAATTTTAATAAATGATCATCAATAAAATTTTAAATCAAAATTTTTTTTATTAAAGATGATAATTTTTAATAAATTAAAACAATCACTCGTTGATGTAGTTGTTCGTTGACAAAAGAGGAGGAAGATTGATCACGGAAAGCCTTTTGAGGCCAATGGCAAGGATGATCAAATGAGTTAAAAGGCACTATGGTGTGGTTTAAACTAAAAAGCAGAGCTGTAATTTTTGTTGCTAGATGGGAAGGACGATTGATCACGGAACCCAACTCTAGTTAAAGACCATGGGAATCAATGGCGGGCTGTGGTAGGCGCGTGTGGGGCCCAGTCCCATCAAAACTTTTGAAAGCACCATGATGTGATCTAAACTAAAAGGCACTAGAGTTCAATCTGTCTGGCTAAAAAAGAAGTTAAAAGTTGGAGACTGCAAGTGGTGAATTATGTCCTAAATTAGGTTAGCATGAGTTATCAATCGAAAGAAAGAATTACATACTTATCAATTAATCAATTTCGTCATTTAAGACTTAAAATTTGACATGATTCGACTCTTTATTTGAGCGGACGTTTAAGGCCAATTGCATAAGCAACTGCCCCAAATATTTTTCTAACCCTTTAACATATATTATATATTATAATTATTTCATATAATAATTTAATTGATTCTCACATTAAATTTGTTTTGAAATGAAAATCCATGTTTAACTTGACCTGGAAATTCAGAAAAATATCTTGACTCTAATGATTTTAGTAGAAAAATTTTTTATACCATTGATAAACTAAAATTTTTTATGTTAAACAAAATATAATTAAAAACAAATCCGAAATATTTAAAAAGTAATGATTGTTGGCATTAAAAAAATTAACATAATTTTGAGAAAATAAAAATGAAAATTAAGTCGAAACATGTTTTTTAAATTTTTTATTAATTTTTGTTTATATTTTATATCTTAAATGAAATTATTATTTATCAGTTATATCATTTTTACTTTTTATAAGTTCAAATATGCAAAGCCTTCTAATCCATTTGAATTTTCCTTCTTTATTATATTTATTTCATCTTAATGTGATTAATGTTAAATTTTTATCTAAATTACTTGAAAAGTATTTTCTATTATAACAATTATTTAAATGCAAATAAAACGTTTTTTTAACTCTTTTTAATCTAAATGAAAATCGTCTAGGGACGAATATAGGTAGTTTTGACATATTACCAAAAAAAGGGATAAAATTTTTGGAATTTTTTAGATATGCCTTTGGACATTTTTAGGAGATGCCTTAACTAAAATTTTGTTCTTTTCAAAAATATTAAAATAATTAATATTGTTAAAAATTATATGATCAAAACATCTGACACGCATATGATAAAATTTCTTTTTGATACATGAAAGTCAAAACATCTGACATATGTTATGGACTTAAAGAAGAGTCTTGAATCTCATATCGAACATAATAAGAGGGTCATTTGGATATAAAAAGGTTCACACTATTTCTGTCTTGTGAGTCGCCTTTTGTAAGATAAAACTGTAAGGTTAAGGGGGTCAGAGTAGATAATACCTCACAAGGGTGTGAACTGTGGTGGTCAGACTGATCCGAGACATCAGATGAGTGGATGCCCGAGTCCCGGAGCCGCGCGGGTTCGGAGCTTAAGTCTTGACCTGTAACAAGTGGCATCAGAGCCAGCCCTAAGTCGTTCGATTCACGCCAAGCACCTCGAGGGAGGTAGGTAGGGTGGCCAGCCTCCATAACGAAGGCGTCACGAGATTAGATGCGAGAGAATGTCACGGATCTAAGGAAGAGTCATGAATATCACATCGAACATAATAGGAGGGTCATTAGAGTATAAAAGGGTTCACATTATCTCTACTTTGTGAGGTATCTTTTGTAGGATAAAACTGTGAGGTCAGGGGGATCAAAGCAGACAATACCTCATAAAAGTGTCAATTGTGGCGGTTAGATTGATCCGAGACACCGGAAGGGTGAATACTCGGATCTCGAAGCCGCACGAATTCGAAGCTTAAATCTCTACTCGTGACACACGCACATGATAAAAGTTTCTTTTTATGCATCAAAGTCAAAACATCTGACCAGCACATGTTAAGATTCCTTTGATGCATAATGTTACTCAATGCTGCTTAATTAATTTTTTGCAAAAATAAAATCATTTTCATTACAAAATGATATTTGTTTGTCAACAACAAACGAGACAAAATGGAAAAACAAACCGTATGTCCCTACCACTACCGCGTATGGAAAATTGATGCACAAAAAAGTTTGCCTTTTCCTTTTTCATGATAGCATGATGAAATTTAATTCACCAAAATATATTTTAATTGAGAAGAAAAGGTTCTTCCGAAAATTATGGAATATATATATATATATATATATATACACATATATATATATAAACAATTGCAATTGTTGTTGTTAAAAGGGAAGGAAGATTGATCATGGAACCCAACACGATCTACATAAATACCATAGGATTAGCTACATATCATTGTATACTTCATTTTACCCTAATTAATTATAATATTTTCATGAAATCAAACATTAATTAACTTATTAATTCCTCCTAAAACTACATGCACATGGATCTATTATGTTTGAGGAAAGTATGTGCATGGATGCATGCATGCTATTTTCATGTATAAAAAAGGTGACCCCCAAACTAAGTTGTTTAATTTGATAATTTTCAAAAATGGAGTGATCGAAGTGGGAATAGTAGTTAGATTATTAGTGGCTATAATGCTTTGAGACGTTTGCCACTTGTTTATAAGTAAATTTATAATTAACATCAGATATGCAAAGGGATAATTTGGCGTACAATTACTAGCAAGTCACCGAGAAGACTTTGGGTACTTGGAAGCTCCTCCTTTCCATATAAAATGAAATTAACCTTGGTAATTGGTCCTGTTGAAGGCCAAAAACTATAGACCAACCAAGTATTCGGTCCGATATTTGGCAAGTGACAATGCTTGGGGGGGTAAAGCACTCATCCTCTTACTAGCGTCGGCAATGGCAGACCAACTTTGTTTTATCTCCAAGAAACAGCTTTGCAGTCATTATCTTTTATCTTTTACATGTGAAAACCAAATCCTATGTTTACCACTATGACAACTACTATTTCGAATCCAAAGTCTAATACATATCCTATAACAATTACCCTTATTGTTATCTACTAAAGACGTATAATTCATTTCAATAATTTGTTCATTGCTCAGATTTGAGTTGCATGGCTGCCCATCAAGGATCTTCCTCCCCTGCTCAAAGTTCATCATGCCTTCCTCGCCGAAATTCATCATGCCTAGTAAAATTAAAGAGAGTAAAAGATAACCATTAATTAAATGCCATTATGTAATAGAAGAAATAGGAGACATTAAAATCATAAGAAAGTTATATACGTACCAAAGAGTCCTGATTGATGGCAGTAAAATTAAATAATCTTGATTGCAACCTTTAGCAGAAAATATGCAATGCTTGGACCTTCCAAATTTATCGAAACAAAAAGTTATTTCAAACAATTGCGTTACACGTCCACGGCCCTGATTGCATAGAAATTGAGGGGTTCGACCTATTATTTCCTCAATGCTATTTTTTATTTTTGTGAGTTCGCATGAAGGTATTTCTCCCGGGGAACATTCTGTTAAAAATAATTACTTAAATAAGTCATTGAGGAAGATAAATTAAAGAATATAATAAAATAAATCGATTAATTACCTCCATATTTCCTTAATATGTCAACAAGCTTTGCATATTTTTTGCTGAGATTGATGGCTTGTTCAAAGTAAGCTTGTGCACTCTTACCAGAGCAGTAACCATGTTTTTTCCATTGATATCTCCAAAAATTCAAATTACTATGTCCAATCTTCAAATCTGGCCACTCGCGATTTAACTTAAGTTGAAGATGTCGAGGTAACTATGAGAAAAAAAAATTACTAGATTAGAGATATAAGATATTAGAATGAAAAGATGAAGCAAATACAAGGAAAGTAATTAAGTCCATTTTACCTGATATTCTTCTAATCGTACTCCATCATCTCCACAATAAACTTTACATCTTCCGGTTTGAGTGTAGCAGTGGCGTAGGCCGTGTATCTTGAAGTAATTAAAAGGTATTTTTCCGCATCTATGAGGGTTTCTTATGTCGTTGCAAAAAGAAACCGGCCAGTGCAGCACCAGCTGTAGAGAATCATAGCCTGGGTTTCTGGCCTTGCTTAAACAAAGAAGAAGAATGAAGAGAAAAGCAGATTTTGTGAAAAATTTCAACATTTTTTAAAATGCGGTTGGAGACGGAGAGGCTAGTAGGTTTTAATTGCTGAATTCTTCGACTTGAAGTAACTTTAAGTCGTGACGGCCGCCGTGATTTTCGCCGGCTACGAACTCCGGCCGCCATCAACAGTGCCGGAAAATTCCAAAAAAATTCTCACGAACTTCTCTCGACCTCTTGAGCACAAATCTGACATCTTTTTCACAAAAAAAAAATCCCCACTTCCCTAGATCTACTCTCAAAGTTTCGGTGAAAAAAACATTTCTTTTATTGTTTGTGTGTTTTCTGGTTTATTTTTGTTGGATGTCTTTGTAGGTGTAATTTGACGTTGGTTTCTCGTTTCAGGGGATTGTTTTTGCTTTTTTTGTTATGTTTTTACAGATTTTTTTTTCGACAGAAGCTTTATTTATAGAGCTTGTATGGATTAAAATATTATATCTTCTATATTCCAATCCCAATTTTCAATTAAAAAATCACTTCTATCGTTTGTGATTGGCGACTTATTGGTTAGTTGTTGGCAACTAACGACGGTAATTTTGATTTTAAAAATTGTGCATTTAATGCAATCAGATATGAATGAAGAAAAATAAAAAAGGAAAAGGAAAGAAAGAAGAAAAGAAAAGAAGAAGACAAACGCAAAAAACGAAAAAAAAAAAAATAATAAATAAATAAGTGTTTACAACAAGCTTTCCCGAAACCTTCGTTTGGGAAATGACTACTACCCAATTACGTTGAAGTATGCTCTACATATTCTGAGTTTAATCAAATTAATATATATATATATATATAAATATATATGTATAATTTTTATACCATTGATAAACTATAGTTTCTAAATGTTATACACAAAATATTTATTGTGTGATATGCAGATGTTATATATATAAATATATATTTCAAAATAATTGTAGTTGTTGTTAAAAGGGAAGGAAGGTTGATCACGGAACCCACTCTAGCCAAAGACCGTGGGAACGTCCCATCAAAACTTTTGAAAGCCTTTGAGGTCGGTGGAAGGGAGGGACAATCAAATTACTTACAAAGGACCATGATGGGGTCCTAACTGAGGAGGACTTGAGCTCATGTCCGCCGCTTTCGTCTCAGTCCGACTTATCCAGAGCTTTCTTAAGTTCAATCCCATTACCACCATTCTGGAACTCTCTATAAGTTTCTCTTGCAAAATCCTTGAACTTAGCATAATCCTTGAACTTAGCATCAGATCACTTGGCATAAATTTATTTTTGTGGTCTGGTGCTTGGGTGAAGGTTTGATTTTTTTGCGCTGGTGCTCAAACCTTGGTCTTGATAGTGTTCACATGGAGTGCAACAAGTGCACATGGTGATATATGTGATAAATTAAGTTGGCATGAGTCTCAATCCAAAGAAAGAATTACATACTTATCAATTAATCAATTTGGTCATTTAAGACTTAAAATTTGACATGATTCGATTCTTTATTTGAGCGGATGTTTAAGGCCAATTGCATAAGCAACTGCCCCAAATATTTTTCTAATCCTTTAACATATATTATATATTATAATTATTTCATATAATAATTTAATTGATTCTTACATTAAATTTGTTTTAAAATGAATATCCATGTTTAACTTGGCCTGGAAATTTAGAAAAATATCTTGACTCCAATGATTTTAATAGACAAATTTTTTATACCATCGATAAACTATAATTTTTTATGTTAAACAAAAAATAATTAAAAACAAATCCAAAATATTTAAAAAGTAATGATTGTTGGCATTTAAAAAAATTAACATAATTTTGAGACAATAAAAATAGAAATTAAGTGGAAATATATATATATTTTTTTAATTTTTGTTTATATTTTAGTAGTTCTAATATGAAATTATTATTTTTTATCAATTATATCATATCTTTTACTTTTTTTCTTCTTTATAACTTCAGAATATGCAAAACCTTTCTAGTCCATCTTTTATCTTGTTTCCCTTCTTTATTATATTTATTCATTTAATAATGATGAGTTAATTATTTTGAAATTATTTATTTATAATAAATTATATTATTCGAAAAATAGTGAAATTGGTGCGAATAAAAATAAATTAAATTAATTTAAATAGTAAAGTAAAACTTCAAAGCATTTTTTTTTTTAAACCTACTTTGCTAATCTAATAAAAATGAAAATCGTATAGGGACGAATATAGGTAGTTTTGATATATTAACAAAAAGGGGCAAAATTTTTGGAATTTTTTAGATATGCCTTGGACTTTTTTAGGACAGGCCTTAATTAAAATTTTGTTCTTTTCAAAAATATTAAAATGATTAATATTTTTAAAAACTATATGATCAAAACATCTGACAGGCACATGAAAAAACTTCTTTTTGATACATGAAAGTTAAAACATCTGACACCCACATGGTAAAGTTTCTTTTTACATATGAAAGTCAAACACGCACGTGTTAAAAGATTCTTTTGACACATATGCGATACAATTACTCTCATGCTTGTCTACTAGAGACATATAATTCATTTGAATAATTTGTTCATTGTTCAGATTTGAGTTGCGTGGCTGCCCATCAAGGATCTTCCTCCCCTGCTCAAAGTTCATCATGCCTTCCTCGCCGAAATTCATCATGCCTAGTAAAATTAAAGAGAGTAAAAGATAAACATTAATTAAATGCCGTTATGTAATAGAAGAAATAGGAGACATTAAAATCATAAGACAGTTATATACGTACCAAAGAGTCCTCCTTGATGGTAGTAAAATTAAATAATCTTGATAGCAACCTCTAGCATCATATCTGCAATCCTTGGACCTTCCAGATTCATCGAAACAAGATGTTATTTCAAACAATTGCGTTACACGTCCAGGGCCCTGATTGTATAGAAATTGAGGGGTTCGACCTATTATTTCTTCAATGCTACTTTTTATTTTTGTGAGTTTACGTGAAGGTATTTCTCCCGGGGAACATTCTGTTAAAAATAATTACTTAAGTCATTGAGGAAGATAAATTAAAGAATATGATGACATTGGCACCGGCTAGTGGCAGGGGGTTTTCAACTTCAATTGCAGGATCATGTACCTCACCAAACTTTTCTAAGCCTGCTTTGGGCAAATTTTCATTCTCTTCATCTGTAAGTCAGACAGTGTCAGAGGAACGGAGAGATATGAAGGAAGCACATCGTACTTAAATGCTTTAGAATCAGTGATGTTCAACTGTTTGGTAGAACCTATATTAGGGGAAACCTTTTCTGAAGGCAAATGCAGTTCAGGTTCCTCTCCAACTGCATTTAATGGTAGGATCTCTGATACGTCCTTCATAGTTGAATTAACATGACTGCTTGAAAGCATGCTACAGTTTTTGTCTTCATCCATTCTGTCAGAGCTGTTTGAAGCAAGATCCACATTGGGAAGAGAGTTATCTCTCTGTTCATTTAGATCTTCATCTTCGTCTAGGTCAGTAATCCTATTTTTTTATGAATGAAACCAATTTCCTTCTTTCTGCAATCTGCCATGGATACAGAAAATCAATAACACCATTTCGATTTCAATTCTCACAAATGAAAACAGCAAAATAAAGCGATTGTAGCTCTTGAAAGATAAGAACAAGAATAGACATGACAAATTTCCTCATTCATAAAGCTGGTTGAATTTTAACATAATTGCATGTGCTAAAAGGTTTTCATCACCAAAACCTAACACTTCCGTTATAGTAATTCTAAGAAGTTCAATGCTAGGAAAAAAAGAAACTTATTCTACAATAACATAACTGATTTGAGTAAAAAGATATCTCAGAGATTACGTATGAATGCAACTTTGCAAACCTAAAAGGGTGTAGAGGAAAAATTAGATATGAGATGGTAAGAAACCTTCATCAACAATGCGATTCCAATGGAATCCTCTCTCCTCTGTTCAGTTTTGAACTAATAACGCAAGAATGTTCTTATATACTCCATGAAAGCTGCTTATTGATTCAATGGAGTTTCATTGCAAGTTAGGTATAGAATTAAAAAGTTGCTAATTCCAGAAGGATTCATAGCCACAATTCCCTTGTCCGATTTTTCTTTATCTTTATCTGCTGCAAACTATTACACTTGCAAAGTTCACATTTAAGAAAGAAATAAAGAAACAATCACAACATAGAAAATAAAACAATTATACATTAAAAATACATTTTCAACCCAATGGCAACATTTATAAAGAAAAACACAAAATTATATTCCAAAAGAAACATTCTCAATGAAAAGCATAACCCTTACAATCCAAAACCAAGATTCTGACACAAAATAAAAACTATGACAAAAGATACCTGTTGAAGTACGTCTCTCTGCATTGCAAGAGCCTTCTTGCTCTTCTCAATTGTAGCCTGAAGTGTATCCTGAGTCATAACCAGCGCCACTTACACCATCCACAGAACCAGCTATTCTGACAGGCTTAAACCTCCAGAGTTGCCCTTCGTTATAGAACAGAGAAACCCCACATGTTGAAGCATTCAAAACAGCAAAATTTTTAGTTTTCCCTAGCCTAGAAGTTGAGAAAGTGAAAACAGGACTACTTTCTACGTTTCTTTCAATGACAAAAGGGGAGGAAGCACCAAGGGAAGCCATTTCCCAGTGCTAGAAACTATGTCTTAAACTAAACCAACAAATCAGAAATAGGTGTTTTCTTTAGCAATTACAAGATAATTTGGGAAATGGGAATTAACGGCAAAATCAAGAAAAATGTCTTTTGCTTTAACAAAAAAGAGAAAAGATTTTACTGAAAGAATGAGAATAAGAATTTAAGAAAAGTTATAGTTTTTTTTTTTTTAATTAAAGATGATAGAAAAACCATGGAAAGAACAGGAAAATCTGCGAGTAGAGTTTTCAAGTGGGTCCAAGGAAATGGGAAACCATAGAGGATTTTTTTTTTTTTTTTTTGTAATTTGAGGTTCAAATTGGCTGAGAATTTGGGAACAGAAATTGGAGAGTATTATAGTCTATAGAGATCATGTCTTTGGATGGCTAGCCTAGTGGCCGTTGGTCTTTTAAGAGTTCCTCTTTGTCTTTTTACTTCGGCTTTAATTAATAGGAGGATAGAAATGACTAAAGCATAAAAAATTTGTTAATTTAATAATTAAGTTATAAAATAAAAATTAATTATAAATTTTAATATTAGATTAATAAATTTTTTATTTTTACTTTTTTATTCATTCTTTCTATTTGTCTTTTCGATTTTCTAAAGAAAAGTATCAATGTCCATGACAAAATAATAGGGTCAGTTTTCACAAGAATTTAAAACGTGGGAGAGAAAGATGGACTCACTTTATATCAATTTATATGTCATTAAATTTCACTATTAAAAATTGTGAATTTGAAAAAATTTATATGAATTATATCTATTTAATTAGATAAGTATTTTAATAAAAGATTCAAAAGTAAATTAAAAATTTCAAAACAAACTTTGGAAGACAAAAAGGCATGGTGAAAGTTTAATAAGAGCTTTTTGTCCAATTCAACTTGAAAATTTGTCCGATTCTACTTGAAAAATATTAAGTTAGAGGAGTGCAATGAGCAAAGATTCTGAAGCAAATTGCAGCTAGATTACATTCAAAGCCACCTGCAAATGTGGCCATGAAAACAGGTACTGGTTTTTCACAAACCTGACATTGTTACATGACATTCTTGTCTTTTGTTGTTTACACATGTACATGTTTTCATATTTAACATATGCACAAAAATCCAGCCTTGTCTTTAATGTGAAGCAGATTTTGTTGGGAAAAAACAACATCCACACGCAATAATCACACACAAAATAATAAGTTCAAATCAAGAATAAAAATACACAAATATATTTGATTCGACCCAACTCAAAATAGCTTACTCCAAACCTAATCTATTATCAAGTAAATCTGTACAATTGTGAGACTTTTAAAATGAGACAAAAGTCTCCTAAAACTCCTTTACTCAAAACTTAATCCAAAACCCAAGTACATCCCTTTTAATAGCCTACTCACTTAGCTATTTCTCTTGCGTGTTTAACTCTCTGGGTTATTAAACTAAAACCAAAAGATATTATTTAAGGTGAAACCCTTTATACCTTTACTAAAACTCCCGATTGAGAATACAAGACAAATTCAAACTTACTTAACTTTTGATGTGGGATTCTGAGATTTAAGGCAAATCCCAACAAATCCTCCCTTGACTTGAATCTCCAAATACTTCAACAGTATTTGCAAAGCTAACATGCTTACCTTTCTTCTTTTCTTTCATCACAGGCATCTCAGCAATTGAGACTCCATCAAACATGTACAAGTGATTGACCCTATTCCCTTGTAGAATCACACTACCATTCTTATACACTTTCAACCAATCATTACTACCATAAAATATGTACCTTCGAGAAGCTAACTCACCCAAAGCAATCAAATTGTAATGACAATTTAGTACATACCTTACATGACGAAGTGTCCTAATAACACCATTGTGAGATCTAAGGCGAACACTTCCAATACCTTGAATCTGCACCTTTTCTTTGTTAGCAACCACAATATCTCCATACTTTTTATTCTCATTCAACTCCACAAAGCAGCTCCTATCATTGCAAACATGAACTGTAACAACTGAATCTAAAACCCAACCTTTATCACTTTTCAAAGTCTGGGTCTCATCCACACAAGTTGTCAAAATAACATCATCATCATCAGACACGACAGCAGCAGTATCACTTTTTTTTCATCTAATTTCTTCTCATCATTAGCCCTTTTGAAAGTAGTCATATCCCTTCTCAGCTTCCTGCAGCGCATTTGGATATGTCCCTTCTCACCACAATAATAACATTCTACATCACTGTAATCTCTATCTCTTAACTTGGATCTCCATCTTGATCCATCAATTTTCTTTTGAGTCCTCTCTCGATCAAAACCCTCTACAGCTAGTGTACTCCCCCTAGGTGATGAGTTCTGAGCTCCCATAAACCTTTCATTCTCACGCAACAGGGTAGTCACATCATCTAACTTCAAAGTAGACCTACCCACCAACACAGTTTGAACTAAAGGCCTATAAGACTTGGGCAAAGATGACAACAAAATTAAGCCCGGGTCTCGGAGCCATGCGGGTTCGGAGCTTAAGTCTCGACCCGTGATGAGTGGTATTAGAGCCAGCCCTAAACCGTTCGATCCACGCCAAGCACCTCAAGGGTGGTAGGCAGGGTGGCCAGCCTCCGTGACGAGGGCGTCACGAGGTTGGGTGCGGGAGAATGTCACGGACCTAAGAAAGAGTCCTGAATCCCACATCAAACATAATAGGAGGGTCCCTGGGGTATAAAAGGGTTCACACCACCTTCGCCTTGTGAGGCACCTTTTGTAGGACAAAACCGTAAGCCAAGGGGGGCCAGAGCGGACAATACCTCACAAGGGTGTGAACCGTGGCAGGAAGGCTGATCTGAGACGCCGGAAGGGTGAATGCCCGGGTCTCGGAGCCGCGCGGGTTCGGAGCTTAAGTCTCGACCCGTGACGAGTATGACAATAAAATTAAAGCCTTCTCTTCATCTTTTAACTCATCAATAGAAATCGCTAGCAATTGGGAAACCAATTTATTAAACTCATTCAGGTGATTATGAAGACTCATACCTTCTTCCCAATACAGATCCATCTTCAAATATAATCTATTAGTCAACGACTTCGAAGCATAAATACCTTCAAGTTTATCTCACAAACTCTTCGGAGTACTCTCAATCAACACACTGTATTTTACCTCTGGAGCTAGCGCCAATCTAATAGTACTAACAGCTTTATTCTAAATCCTATTCCAATTAGCATCAAACATTCCCTCAAGCTTACTATTTTTTAATGCCTGATCCAATCCTTGTTGTACTAACAGATCTTGAATCGCATTCTTCCATCTTCAGAGAATACAGATCCATCTTAAAACATAATCTATTAGTCAACGACTTCGAAGCATAAATACCTTCAAGTTTATCTCACAAACTCTTCGGAGTACTCTCAATCAACACACTGTATTTTACCTCTAGAGCTAGCGCCAATCTAATAGTACTAACAGCTTTATTCTAAATCCTATTCCAATTAGCATCAAACATTCCCTCAAGCTCACTATTTTTTAATGCCTGATCCAATCCTTGTTGTACTAACAGATCTTGAATCGCATTTTGTCATAACATAAAATTACTCTTTTCATCAAATAACGAAATCTCAAACTTAGGCATAGGCATACCAGACATACCTTCTTCAGACATCTTCAAACACTGCTTCACGATCTCTTGGACCCACGAACCTTAAACCTCGAACCTGCCTCTGATACCACTTGTTGGGAAAAAACAACACCCACGCGCAGCAACGACATACAAAATAACAAGCTCAAATCAAGAATAAAAACATACAAATATATTTGGTTCGGCTCAACTCAAAATGGTCTATTCCAAACCTAATCCACTATCAAATAAATCTTTACAATTGTGAGACTTTTAGAATGAGAAAAATCTCCTAAAACTCCTTACTCAAAACTTAATCCAAAACTCAATTACACCCTTTAATAGCCTACTCACTTAGTTATTCTCTTAGTGTCTAACTCTCTGGGGTTATTAAACTAAAACCAAAACATCTTATTTATAAGGGTGAAACCCTTTATACCTTTACTAAACTCCCGATGTGGGATACAAAACAAATTCAAACTTACTTAACTTTCGATGTGAGATTCTGAGATTCAAGACAAATCCCAACAGATTTTAGCTTAAATAAGAACCCCTAAAATTGGGTTTTTTTATTTTTATTTTTATTTTTATGCGGCTGAAAATCAAGAAGATGGGAATAGGGGACCATTAGCATTCCCGAAAAGCCTCCCTCTTTTGAATTCAATGTTGTTTAGCTTTTCCTGGCACCATTTGAGCTGAGAAGAGGATAGAAATGACATTTGGAGTACCCTTGATACCAGCTTCATTTCTATCATTGTGAACAATATTGCCACTTTCTGGGATTCTTCTACTGGGTTCACAGCTTTGTTAAACCAGCATCTTTGTTTCCCTTGTAACTCTTTCAACCATAGTTCCTTCTGCAGCCAAAACAAAGTGTAATATTCAAGAAAAATTATCTCATATACTGTTGATGGAGTTTTTAGATTGCAGCAGAGTTACGCATATCTTAAAATATATTAAAATAATAAAACATGTGACAATCTTTTAATATCACTTGTAAAGTTAAAAATTTTTTTACCAACTTATTATTCGAACACCAGCTTTTGAGGAAACATTGCAACATTTTCTAATGTAAGAAATTTCTTGGTAAACTTCAGCTTGATAGGTATCATGAGAATTGGTCAGTCCATTGAAATATTTACCTTTTGGAGACATGTGGTCAGGTCAGCCAGGAGCTCCAAGTCTCTTGGATCATCCACAGAGGGAAAGTCCATAATGAACTTTTAAATTTCCACCAAGGCTTTTTCCTGTCAGTAGTTACAAATTTCCCAAAAATCTGTATGCATTTCTCTATGGCCTTCAACACAACTTTTGCAAACACAGTTTCTCCTTTAATCCCTTCCTTTTCTTCCTCAAAAAACCCTGTGAGAAACCAAATTAAGGGTAAATTTTAACAAGGTAGCTTGATAAGTACTGCCTTTGATTGAGATTTTTAATATATTTCTCCCCATCACTAAGTAAATTCTTTTTTTTTTTTTTTTCAATTAGAAATGTGTTCAAGTTGGAATAAGTTGGAATTTTGCATATTCTATAAATTGACAAATTGACAAAGTTATTGCCTTTTAATTTAGCATTGCTGGAAATGTTAGAAAGAATTTGGGCTAAAAAAGTGTATTATTGTAACAAAAATGATGAATTGAAATGTTCAAAAAATATGTACGAAATAATAAAAATTCAAAGATATGATTTTATTCATAACATTATGGTTGAACTGCAAAAACACTTTTTTAAAAATTTTTTGGTTTGAGCTTGCAGGCAAAATTTATTAAATCGAAAAATCATTATTTTTTTGGTTATTTTACATTGAAATTTGGTTAAAAGCAGCTTTTGAATACAGAAGCAACTTTCAATCTCAATCTAAACTAATCCAAAGGCAGATGAGGATTTTCTTTTCAAAATCAAAAAGTGAAAATCTCAGTTTAATTTTATAAGTAACGTCATATTTGATTAACAGCCTTAAACTAGTTAAGATTGAGGAAATAAAGAATTAAAAGAATTACTTGTGACTTTAGGAACTTGAAGAAGACTCTTGCAAGAAAATCTTGCTTAAGCATAATTCCAAGCTCTCTTTCCCTGATAATGGTACCTTCTTCTTCCAAAAATCTTTCAAGCAATGCTTGGAAGTTTTGGAAATCCCCTGCCACATTATCAGAAAACAAGGAGTTGGAGAAGATCAGAAACTTGACCTTTCTGTATTGATGATGCAGGGCCTCCCAGGTCAAGCATGATTGAGCCACATAAACAAGCTCAAAATCTCTCTGTAAACTTCTTAAGAGCTTCTGTTTATCCATTTTGCTCCATGATATGTAGGGGATTGAGAAATCCTTCACCTTGATGCTCTCCAGTGACCTTGGAATTCCCACTTCCTTGCTCAAGATTGAACCTGAAATAGTCAACCATGAATTGCAGTAAGTGCATCTGAATCTGATTAAGATGCATTCTATTTCTTTTTCTATAAGAATAACTTATTTCATAGAGATTTAGTTCAGTTGATTCATATAACCACCTTTAATAGGTAGGATCCTATAAGTTTTGGATTCAAATCCCAGCACTTACAATCTCTTTCCCTATTCTTAGGCTGTGGCCTACTTTTTACCAATATATATATATATATATATATATTAGAATCATTCAAGATCAAGGGTTCCCCCCACAACATGTAAAGATTTGCTCCATCATGCACCAAACACTTTCATTTGTACATAAATATTGCATTGCCCAAACTATATATGCTAGTTCTGCTATAAAATATTATGCCTTTTTCCCCTATATATAGCATGATTGATAAAAGAAAGTAAAAAGTACCCACTTATTCCACAGATCCTTTTATAGTTTAGCACATCAAATCATCCCATTCTGTCAGAATATTTCTTGTAAAATTCTTCTGATTCGTCCTCATCTCTTGCTGTGGTTATCACTTCCCTCTCCAAAACTGGATAATCAGAGCTGCAAGTTGGAAATGAGTGTTCTTTCATAAATAGTGACGTCAAGGAACCAAACAGTGGTGAATATTCATTCAAGTATGCTTCATCTATGGATGGAGAAGAGATGCAAAAGGAAGATGCATACTGGTCTGCACTCAAGTCCATGTGAAGACGAAAACTCCAGCCTTCCATATTTGCATTCTCTCTTTCAGGAAGAATTTCATTATCTTCTCAACCATTAGCCTCTTCAAATTCATCCCTCTGAAGTTCAACCACTTTAGTCTTGCATGGAATTGGTGGTGTTCTTGAAAAAATACTTAACCTAACAAGCTGATTTTGAATGACAATACCAACTGATCTTTTTACCAATTCTGAATTGGAATCAACCTCTTCAACTACTTGCATGTTGGTTACTCTAATAAAAGAGAAAATATTGAAGATACAATATGTACAAAATTTGTGAACATATAAACACAAAAAGCAAATGATTCTGAAAGGATAAATGAATACAGCTGAACTACATCTTTTCAGCAACTTGAGCCATAGAAAAATCTGGCAAGCAAAAAGAAAAACAGGATGGATACAGAAGCTCAAATAAAACCACTTCAGAAAATATCCATCAGGGATGACAATAGACTTGGTGATAGGCCAACAGGAAGCAAGGGAAGCCATTTTCAAGACCTATTAGTTACAACCACTCAAGCCATATTGAAGACCTATTATTTACAACCACTCCCTTCAGGAAGCTCTAATAGTTGTTTCCTAGTGGTTTGTGGGAAGATTTTATCAGTTAATTAGCTGAATTCTCTCAACATCATATATGAACTTGGTGGGTTTTTTGAGGGGGAGGGGGGGTGGGCTCATTGACTCATGGAAAAATGAATGAAACAACATAGAAAGTGCCAAGATTGGAAAATTTTTCCTGAGGATTTTAGCAGTTAATTAACTGAACCCCCTCAACATCTTATACAAACCAGGTAGGTTTTTTTGGGGAGGGGGGTCATTGACTCATTGAAAAATGAATGAAACAACATGGAAAGTGCCAGTATTGGAAAAATTTTCCTCCAATCACTATAAAATAAGAGTAGTTTATGGATGGATAATTTACTTTTAATCAGTTGACATGTTATTAGACTTGGTGTTTGGAAGTTGCAAGTTCGAAGTAGATCATGTACGTAATATCCTTGTTAGTCAAATAAATACTAAGGTAGGAAGATTCAAGGATAGATTAGGAATTTAAAAAAAAAAAAGAGTAGTTCATGGGTCTGGAAATATGGAAGAAATTATTTTCAATTGACAGACTTGGCTTAGAATGTGCTTTGTGATATCTTGACTAACTTTTTAGTTAATGCATCAAAATATAAAACTTGTTTGCTTACCTAGGATCCTATCCATTAGAACAATTGTCTAATGAATCTAACAATATCACCAAAATTTTGCTTAAAACCCCTCTATTGTCCTAACCTGTCTTCACTATATGTTGACCAAAGTGATCAAGCGTGAATCTGCCATTAGGCTAAAAATGAATCAACCGAGGGAAGGTTGTTGAGGAATTGTTCAAGTTAGAAAGTTATGAGATCTTGTCTCTTCCTTCAGGAGTCAACATTATTTGATTTGCCTGTCATTTTTTTCCACGTTGATAACAAAGACACTGAAAAGCTTAACTTGTGAAGGTATATGAACAAATATACCTTCAATAATGACAAAACTCTTTCAATCAACCCTTACCTCACCATTGGATAACCATTAAAGAAGTCAAGGGGTTTTACACCTCATTTGTAATGATACACCTAACCTAATTAACTTAACTAGCAAACAATTGATGGTACAAGTAAGGATGATGGGTTTGCTTACAGGAATTTGAATCATGAATTATGACCAATCCAATTACTGCTGGAGATTAAAAAACAAAATTAATCAAAATGATAAACTTTGATCTTTATAACTGATTTATGAATTTTGGTTGGTAGTACTTTTTAAACAAATAAGACAACCACATACATTAAGAAAGAAAAACAACTAAACATGAATATAAGAAAAAAAAATTACAGTACTGTGAAAGTGTGAATCTGAAATGAATCCAGCGGTTGTTTTCAGAGACACTGCTGATCTTTCATTGTCTGTCAATTTAACTCCTGGGAAAAAATGGTCCTTATTTGAACATTCAGTTGCAGGCCTTGTATTAATGAACCTTCTCTGCATCATAAAGAAGTATTTTCAGCTTTGTGCAAGCTTTTAATATCTTGTTTCCCAAATTTTTCTAGCAAGTTTAAACTAGGCAAGTCAAAGCTAATAATAAATCTGATCTAGTGGTATGTATCTGTTCAGAAGATTATATCAGAAATGACTAAAAGGTCAAGTTTATAGTAAGGGAGTCACGAATCTATTCCAGAATCTTGTCTTGAATTTAAATGAATGAATGAATTATAATTTGATCAAATACTTCCATAAATTCAAACATATAAAAATATTGTTCTTGAAAACCACAAAGAAAAAAACACAAATTCAGCAATAATGTTACATTCTTCTGCAGGCACAAGCCATTAATTTTGAAGAAATTTATTCTTACAAATTCATTTCAAACTAATCTATATACACCAGAATCTAATTCCACAACCATGGTTTTTACAAATTTCAAGCAGCCATGCAACCAACGCCGAATCTGGTGTTGGGAAACACAAGAAACAAGCCACTGCAAATAATCCCCACCATCAAGGGAAAACTTTCCATAACCTGATCCATTTCCTTCTCATGCCCGGGGAAAACACAGTTTGTAACTCTATAATCCGAAAAAGCAATTGCCATAAACACCAAGACCGACATGATGGCATGAACAAAATCAGTAAGTCCAACCTTGTATTTATCGTCTTTCGGGGATTCAACATCGAGACCAGGCTTGAACACAGCCAGTCCCTTAGGGGTCACGAAACCATAGTAAACATTCCCATCAGGACCCCGGAAACTATCAGTGAAATGAAAGAAGAAGCAAGAGAGTGAGCAAAGGCATAGGAGGAAGTAAATCATCATGGTGTTAACGCCGGAGCAATCACCATTGCGGTAAACAGAAGGGAGAACCATTTCAAAAGTTAAAAGTGTGCCTGTTGGAAGGAAGTTAACAAGCATGGAAGTTTTGGATGTAGATTTTTGCACCCCTTTTGCCACGGCTTTCCTCTTCCTGCCCGGTTCTGGTGGCAGCCGAGGGAGGGAGGAGATTGCTATAGGACCTTCTGGTGGTGTTGCGTTGTAGACTTTGACGCCAATTCCTTCTTCAGTTTGTTCCATTTTGTTTTCAGATAAGAAAAAAAACTGCTTGATGATAAGGAAATGAAAGCTTTGACGGGAATTCTGTGATATTTAAAGGGTTTTGTCCTTGTTTGAAATTTGAAACTTTGGGGTTGTTACGACGGTTAATGAAATGATATTAGCACGTGATTACAAAAAAAAAAAAAAAGCCAATTGCAGGCGGCTCACTAGAACCGCTATTAAATGACCGGCTCTTCATCATAGAGTAAAGATCGATTTTGTTAGGTGGTCTTTATGAGTACCTCAGAATTAGTTTTATGGGGAGTCTCTCAACTCTAAATAGTTCTCAAGTTAGGTTTTGCTCAAGCTTTTAATCGCATAAGTAACTAATTTGTTTAATTATGTCAGGATAAGAGTTAATATTTTATTATAGATTATATTATGAGAAATTTTAATCATAATTTTAATTGTTTATAATTTTTTTATCAAATATAATTTTGATATTATATCTATATAATAATTATTGTAGTGTCAAAATTTTGATAATTGACGAAACAAAAAACTTATAATATCTTTATGTTTGTAATAAAAAAATGTCATTTTTTAGTTTGTAATAATTTTTAATTAATTTTTTATTTTTTATTTGAGTATAAAATTAGTATCCCATATTGAACACTAATATATATATATATATATATATATATATACATTGATTAGAAAATAAGGATAAAAATGGTGACGTTTGAACTCTCGTCTCATATGTTTTTCTAAACTTTTTTAACTATTAGATTAAGAAATTGAAGTAATTTTTTAGTACTTCAATAGAATTATTTTAACTTTTTTTATTTTTCATTATTTTTAAAAAATTGATAATTTTAAATATGACAAAAACATAATATAAAAAAATATAAAAAATATAATTTAAAATTGACAAAACTCATATATTAATTTAAAAAAAATAATAAAAACATATTTTACCTTTCACGTGTTCAAACAAATTATAATATAATAATTTTTATATTTTATATATTTTAACATAAAATAAACATGCTATGGACACAATTGCTTAAAACTCATATTTCCTTTAATAATATGCCGAGAATACTTTGAACCACTTAGAAAAATATAACGTGGCATCATTTTAGAATATACTTAGACCCTTCGAATTCATAAATACAAAATATCCAATACACCCGTTCTTTATTTCCAAGTGTTTGGTTTGGAAAATTAATCAAACATGAAAGAAAAAAAATGTATGGTTGAGAACAAGAGATAGTGGTGAAAGAAAAGATCTTCTGTTTGTATGTTTCTTGAACCAATCTTCCACGGTGGAATTTTCATTTTTCAGGACCCCTTTTTTTTCCCATAAATCTTTAGTTATGGATCTGAGCAATGAAGAGTACAATTTCCAGATCCTTCAGGAAATGGAAAATTTGAGCAAGAAATATCCAAGCCAAAGAAAAGGCCAAATTGAAGTGCTAGCAACATCCTTGTCTGATCACCTATTTATGGAACTCCAAAGCGGAAACTACTGCTCGAGTCACAGCACAAATTGTTCAAGAAAACTTGGATTATAGCTTGGCTGATAGCAGCTGAGACCAAAAACTATGGCACCTTTTCTCTCTCTTTCGGTCTCCCACCTTCCAGTTTGCAAATTTCAGGACTTTTCTAAGGATACCGACTTCCCCAAAGGAACTAATAGAGAAAACTCTTCTGCCGAAGTAGTCTCAGATACCAAGTTAAGTAAAAGGAAGCTGTTGAGTTCAACTGCTTTGGGTCTGATTGGAGGAAGGCTCTCAGTTGCTCAGGCAGCAAAAGCTGAGCCAGAAAGCCCGATCGAGAGCACATCAAATGGAATGTCATATTCAAGATTTTTGCAGTACTTGGATGAAGGTGTTGTGAGGAAGGTGGACTTGTTTGAGAATGGGACCGTGGCGATTGCTGAGATATATAGTCCTGCACTTGATATAATCCAGAGGGTAAGAATTCAATTACCAGGATTGCCACAAGAATTGCTGAGGAAAATGAAGGAGAAAAACATAGACTTCGCTGCTTATCCTATGGATGCGAACCGGTCAGGTGCTTTACTTGACTTGTTGGGGAACTTGGCATTTCCATTGATTTTGCTTGGCGCTTGGTTGCTAAGGAGCTCATCTACAACCACTCCTGGAGGTCCAAACTTGCCTTTTGGACTTGGAAGGTAATTTATATCCCTCTTTAATTGATCATAAATGATAAAATTGTGGTTTCAAGTGTTTTTTTGGTTACTGGTGCTTCATAAGAGGAGCGTTTACTTGTTGCTTTGTGAACAGGAGCAAAGCCAAATTTCAGATGGAACCTAACACTGGAGTAACTTTTAATGATGTTGCTGGTGTTGATGAAGCCAAGCAAGATTTTCAGGAGATAGTTGAGTTCTTAAAAAACCCAGAGAAGTTTGCTGCAGTGGGTGCCAAAATTCCTAAAGGAGTACTTTTAGTTGGACCTCCTAGGACTGAAAAGACATTGCTGGCTAAGGCAATTGCAGGAGAAGCAGGAGTTCCTTTCTTTTCACTTTCTGGATCAGAGTTCATAGAGATGTTTGTCGGGGTAGGAGCTTCAAGAGTAATGGATCTGTTCAACAAGGCAAAAGCTAATTCGCCATGCTTGGTGTTCATAGATGAGATTGATGCTGTTGGAAGGTAGAGAGGAACTGGAATTGGTGGAGGAAATGATGAGAGGGAGCAAACTCTAAACCAATTGCTAACTGAAATGGATGGTTTTACCGGCAATACTGGAGTTATTGTCATTGCTGCTACTAATAGGCCTGAAATCCTGGATTCTGCTTTGCTAAGGCCTGGAAGATTTGATAGACAGGTAAGCTATTCTTTCATATATTCTCCAACTTGAAATCTTCTTTATATAAAATATGTACTATAATTGAATTTGAAACTTAGCTCAGTTGTTTTTTGCAATTACTCTTAAAAGGAGTTATCTAGCAGGTCTGGAGTTTAAAACCAGCACCTGCAACCCCTTCCCTATCCTTAAGCTACGACATCTTTGTAAAATAAAAAATGTATTATAATCCATAGTCTTGATCATGAAGTTACAAAGTAACACATTTTCTTGCAAAACCGTGGCTAGAAACATAAGACAACTCATTCGGTTGATTGAGCAGGTCACTGTTGGGTTACCTGATATTAGAGGGAGGGAAGAAATATTGAAGGTACATAGCAACAACAAGAGACTGGATAAGGATGTTTCTCTGAGTGTAATTGCTATGAGGACACCAGGATTCAGTGGTGCAGATTTGGCAAACCTTATGAACGAAGCTGCCATTCTTGCTGGTAGAAGGGGCAAAGACAAGATCACAATGAAAGAGATTGATGACTCAATTGATCGAATTGTGGCTGGAATGGAAGGAACAAAGATGACAGATGGAAAGAGCAAATTGCTCGTGGCCTACCATGAAATTGGACATGCTGTTTGCGCGTAAGTTTCATCAATGAATGTTGCAACATACTCGAACACCCTAGGATTTTGACATGGACAGCCTTCTGATATATATTTCATGGGAAGAAGCACAGTTACTTAACCTGTTTTTTACATTTTGTACTTACAGAACATTGACCCCAGGCCATGACCCAGTTCAAAAAGTCACTCTGATCCCCAGAGGCCAAGCTCGAGGCCTAACATGGTTCATACCAGGTGAAGATCCTGCTGTTATTTCCAAGCAACAACTCTTTGCTAGAATAGTTGGAGGTCTTGGTGGTAGGGCAGCGGAAGAAATAATATTTGGAGAACCAGAAACTACTACAGGTGCAGCAGGGGACTTGCAAAAAATAACCCAAATAGCAAGACAGGTTTGCATCAAGAAAATCTGATTTTTCAAGCAATCATCCACCAAGAAATCAATACAAACCGAAATCTAACGTTAGCTAACAAGTTTCCTTTCGCTCCTTACAGATGGTAACCATGTTTGGCATGTCAGATATTGGACCTTGGGCGTTAACTGATCCTGCAGTTCAAAGTAGCGATGTCGTGCTAAGGATGCTTGCCAGGAATTCCATGTCAGAGAAACTTGCGGAAGATACTGATTCATCAGTTAGGAAAATAATTGAAAATGCATATGAGGTTGCAAAGAATCATATCAGGAATAACCGCGAAGCCATTGACAAGCTAGTAGAAGTGTTGCTGGAGAAAGAAACTCTTACAGGAGATGAGTTCAGAGCAATCCTGTCTGAATTTGTTGATGCACCTGCAGTAAAAATTGACAGAACTCCTGTTCGTGAGATGATCAATGCTTGAGTAACTGTACAACCATACCTAGTTCAGATAACATTGTATATATAAAGTGTAGTAAGCAATATTTATAGAGAACAATCTTGTTCATCCAATTTCCAAAGCTATGAAATCCTAGAAATATTATTGCAGAAAGTGTTTATTGATCCATTAGCTGCAAATTTTATGATTAATCCAAATATGAAAACAAAATGCAAATTGACAAAGAAAGAGAATCGGGACTATAAATTTCGTGTGGAAATAAAACATATTGACATATTAGAAGAGTTAGTGAACCTATGAGACATCCATGGAGAAGAAGTGTGTTAAATTCATCAATAAGAAAAAAGTAAAAATTCATTTTTATTTTCTTTTGAAGGCATTTTTAAGCTTTGTTTACTGCATCCTTTTCTCGATCCAAACAAGTTTATATATGCCAGAATTAGTCAGTTCATGAAAAAAGTTTATCTACGCCAATTGTCATCTGTAATCTCCACCTAGACTCTTTCCTCCTCACTGAACTCATCAGATTCTCCTTTCTATCTCCCTTCTAAAGCCTCAGCTACGCTCATTCCCTTCTCATTAACTCACTCAATTCAACTCCGTCTACATGGAATATCCTCATCCGAGGCCATGCTTCGAGTAATTCTCCCCAAAAATCAATCTGGGTACTTAAAGAAATGCGAAAACGAGGGCTGAAACGCCATAAACTTGGTGGTGGTTGCAAACATGTATGCAGGGGCCGACGGAGGTTTATGAAGATGGAAGGTTCAAAAAGATGGCAGGTGAATAATGATGTCTTGAATTAATTGGCTACGATTCTCAATTTGATTTTGATGGTATCTAATTATCTATCCATTGCTAGATACACTGACCTTACACATGAAACTGATTAACCTTTTGTAATTGATCAAATCACTCAAAATATAAGAAAAAAGCTTGCTACTATTAATCATTGATAATTAATTCATGTCATTGTGATAGACTAGATCTGACAATTTGTATGTTTGATTTGTATAAAATATTGAAAATTTGTTTATTCAATTCTTGTTTTACATAAAAAAATTATGTGTCCTAATTTCACAGGAAAACACAAAATACTATATATATATATATATTTTTTTTTTTTGTTAAACATATATGTGGCTTTTGCTAAAATTCTAATTGCGTCTTTTTTTGTATTATTTTCAATTTGTGTTATCTTATTTTAGATTGGCTGATTCAAGCAATGGAGATGTTGAGAACCATTGTTAGTGCTAACTGCAAAGAACAGATTTCAGAATCGAGATTACAGAAATTTTTATCTGAATTTAGAGAATCCCTCCAAAATCACACAAGAATACATTATATTATAACAAAATAAGCATATTATAACTTGCCTATGATGTCTACCAGAGATGTGTAAGTACCAAATATAACCACAGCAACGCCCATTATAATTATTAGGCCTACAACAACCATTTCAACGTCGAATCTCTTATAATTTCCAGATATCTTCAAGTAGCAGAAGCATGGTAGTATGACTGAAGCTGTGATACTTAAAATTGCTCCAACTAGGGACATGAGGGAACCGAAAAATGGAACTGCCAGAGCCACCAAAACAGTGCTGATTACTAGGTTGGTACCAACAAAGAGGCTGAGGAATCGCTTGTTGCAGTGATATGGAAACCAGGTTTTAGTGGCATTTACAATTGGTGTAACCATCAATGCATATTTGGATATGGGATTGACCAGGGTGGTGTATATTGCCACTCTTGAGCTGAGCTTGTTAGTTGGAAGGTTCAAAGTTATCTGTGATTGAACATCTGATCCGAACATTAAGTACCCCAAAATCGCCATTGATGCGTAACAGATGGTACATAAGACAAAGCATACAACCAGGACCTAAAGGAAAAACAGAGAAATTTCCGTCACAAGCCTGTTTATGTGAACTAAAACAATATAAACTTGTAAAGTTAATACTTACATTGGAGAATTGATGCCTTTTTTTCATTGAAGTGTAAAGCGTAGGGAAGACTGGATGAGCGCAATAACAGAAGGCGTATAAGCTGACAGCAGTAGGGATTCCTTCCCAGTTTATCAGCGTTCCCCTTTGTTGAAATCCAATTCCATCAAATGCACCAGTCCAGATAATTGAAATAAGGATGATTGCAGAAGCTATAACCCCACTGGCAGAGACATAAGAAAGAAGGGTCAAGTTATCCAACCAAACAGTGGGCAAAATTATGAGCGCTACAATTATAATAAAGCCTTGTTTGCCACCAACTGCTAGTCCGGCTACTTCAAATTCCATATTTGGTAACAACTTTTGCAAGTTATCTCCTTCTAGAATCAAAAATCCTGTCGCGACTAAGTAGAGCTCGATATACATGAAAACTGATACTATTAGTCTCCCATTGTTCCCAAATGCACGCTCTCCTATGTCAGGGTAAGTTCTGATACTTGAATCTGCTTCCATACACCTTTGAATTAACAAACCCGAGTAGAATGCTGCAGTGGCTATGGCAAAAAGAAGTATCAAGCCCAACCATCCTCCTGATGCCAGCGCATATGGGACTGATAATATCCCTATTCCTGGATGTAGTTAAAAGAAAAAAAAAAAAGGGTTAAGAGCTAGCCAAACTGCTTTTCTTACTAAGCAGAAAAATCAAATGAAAATGTTAAAGAAATTAAAATAGGAAACAGTTCTTCCCCACTCCTGCAGTCTCATTGTTGCTCCTTAAATCACAAAGTGTTCTTCAACATGACTGGAATTCTCAAACCATTTAGATTGCTGGTTCAGCAAATATTTGCTGAATTGTATTGTAACTTATGACAAAGCATAATTCCAACTTTTATGCCTAATTTGTGCAGACTACAGACTTCATAGTCCAATTAGGCTATAAGATTAGTGATTGGGACTTGAACGTACTTAGTCAGTTAATATATATATATATATATATATTTTATCATTCTTCCCATCATTTGTCTCCACATAATTCACAATAATATATCGAAGTTTTTTTCAGAATCTAATATATAGCGTAAGTCCCTGGGGTCATTAACAATACTATAGAGTTATACAAGCACATACCACCATTATTACACCATGTCCCCCCCCCCCCCCCCCCAACTTCCCTTCCAAGAGTCATGCAAACTAGGCAAAAGAAAGGGGGCCACATTGTGATATTCTTAGGCATGGATGGATCTCACTTCGTCGTTGCATTTTTTCCTAGGACATTATACAAATAATGTGAATGATAGATTATATATATATATGGAGAGAAAGTTTATCCCACGCTTGTCTAGATGCTGTCTGTCTTATCGCAGTAACCAGAAAGTTTATCCCACACTTTAGAAAAGTTAACCTTTTCTTGATACAAAATAATTTTTTATAGTAAAAGTTAAATAACTACTAATAACTAATATTTGCTTTTCTCCTTTTTAAGAAGCATGAAACATGGGTTCTGGGATATTTGTTGATGCTAATCCAAATAGGTAGAATGGATTTTTTTTTCCGGTTAGAAATTTGCAGGTATTGTGTAAAATATTATTTTCAAATATGTTTAAGCAAGTTTATTAATGTCGAGTAAAATAAATTTATAAAAAATTATTTTCTCTCAATCTTAGAACAAATTTGAATCCAAGCAATAAAAACTAAAAAATACTTTCTTTATCACTTTAGCTAATCAGCTAATCATCCATCCATAGATAAATGTTATTTGGAGTAAAGAAGAAGAAGCAGCCAATGGAAATTATAAAGCTCTAATTAAATCATATTTATCATCATGAAAAAGCAGGTAATGGAAAAATATTGAAGAAAAATAATATATTTAATATATTATTAATATAAAAATTTTATATATTATCAATAAATTAAATGATATCATCTCATTAATAAGATGAATCAAATAATATCATTTTATTAATAAATAAACTATTAAAAAATATTAATTTTATATATTTATTTCAAAATTTGATAATTATTTATTTATTAATTAAATAACATTATTTGATTCAATAACTGTATAGATATATATATCAAATATAAACTCAAAAAATAATTTCCACAAATCCCTGGTTTCCTCTCTCTTTCCATTGCAATAAAGTTATGCTTACAGGGTTCCCCACCATAGATAAGGACACCTCTTCGTTGTTTGCTACTAAACAAATTGTGGGTACCATAGATTTTTCTATGAAATTTCTTTGATCCTTCACCAGTAGATAAGCTTGGGATATTTTCATGGTTGCTTTTCTGTCTTTAGCTCAGCAGCCTCAAGCTCATCTCCTCTCTCCATTTTCCTTTTGGCCCTTGAAACTCTTCCTGTATAGATTCATACATAGCTGCAAGCTCTAACTAGATTTGATTTCAGAGCCGTGAACTAAAATCCCACCTCAAATTCCATGCCTTTTCTTGAACCAAATTAATTAAGCCAGGTTTTACAATTTGTTTCAAAAGCTTGGCCTGACATTGAGACAACTACTCTGTCACATGGTTTTTAGGCAGCTTCAGCCTATCTCGTTTCCATGAAAATAAGAATTTTATAATGAAAAAAGTTATAATTTTTCAGCCCCCAAAAACACACTAACAATGGCAAAAGTTGAGAACTGATGAGAATGAGAAAGTACCTGATAAAGCATTGAGTCCATTGAAACAAGTACTGAAGAAAGAGGTGGCGTCTTTGATATTGATATCAACATGATTTCCAGGTGCCTCTAAATCCTGTAATTTGCTTTGGTTCTGGTCAAGAAGCAAGGGTACTTTAAGATCAGGTGCTCCAGCACTTTGGTGTTTAGTCTCCATTGCTAGAAAAATCAATTAAAAAAGGGGAGAAATATAAGGAAATTAACGCTGGATGGGCAAAGAAAATTGGTTTCAATAGTTCCGATACTACCGAAATGCAAAGATAAGATAGTATCAAAAGGGGCAACGAAAATATAGTATCCTAAAAGACTTTTATAGATTTTCTTCCACTTACATGTGAGCAAAGGGCTAACACAATTTATAGATGCACTCTTTCCCACAGACAAAATGGCTAAAAAAAAAGTTACGCGTTTACTGTCAAAATGGCACGCCAATGCTATGAATTTGCCACGTTTTTCATACTCCAACAAACAAAAATCGTATCTTAGAATGTCAGAAAATGTAATTTTGGAGTGACCATTTCTTGTCTTTCACTTACTTAGCTTTATGGTATTATATCAATTAATGTTCATTAATTAATAAAACAACCTAATTTCTCTTACAAGAGTATACTCCATCCTCTTTTTTTTTTTTCTATCTTTTCGTAGCTTAATATATAAAAAAAAAAGGTCAAATTCTTCATTTCATTTAAAATGGTAGATCAAATTTATTACTCACTTTTTAAATTGTATAATTGTATCACTATATTTGTTTCAACTAAATAGCCAAAAGTTTATAATTTTCAAATAAAAATAAGAATTATAAGAGAAATTACATGGTGTGGAAAGTGAATATATGTGTTGCAATCAAATCACAAGTGAAAAAGGAAAGAGAAGGGGAAGAACACACGATACCTTGACAGGCACATATTGCACATGTTTTGCATTATTGTAATTTATATCGGCCCTTCCTCGAACAAACGTGCCTCGAACAGCTTTTCACCTTTTTCAGTTCTATAAATTGACGTCCGAAGAAACAAAAAAAGAAAAAGGTTAAAGAGCAATCGACGCCGTCTTTTAAAAATTAATGTATAATTGATTAAGACAGATGAAATTACGTACTCCTTTCGTTAATATCCTCAATTGTATGGTCCATGGCAATTAGATAATCAAGTCAGGTTTTGGCTTATAGTTAAATATAGTAATTTATGTATTTATATTTATTTATTTTATGTTAAATATATATAATAAATATAAAAATTATTATATTAATATATAATATATAAAATATGTTTTTAATTTTTATCAAATTCATATATAATTTTATTAAAATTTTAAGCAGTGATACTTTTATCTTTTTTTATATTATATTTAAAATTGACGAATTTAATCTTAGTTTCAATTCAAGTAGCCTTATCCATGAAACAGTCAAAGTTATACGTCTAGAAGGGCAGTTCGGGATCTTACTGTACTATCTTCATGACGAGCTGATTTGCATGTCTTTTGTTACGTGGCCGGCAGGCCACACCGGCCATATATGTGTTTTAAAAAAACGTGTGACACCATACGATATCTGCAGATTTTGACCAAAGTAACGTACGTAGATTTGAGGCAAAAGTAACGATAGGTTCGGCACCTCACGTTTTAATTAAGGTGTCAAAGTTAAATTGAGCGGAGGACTCAAGTAGTATCATACTTGCCTACAATGAATTCCCTATAGGATTGCATCATTTTCAGCTATACTGTTATTTTGTAGTGATTTTAAAGAATTCAATCTCAAAATTTATCATCAAATCTTTTGAGGTTTAAATTAATATTTCTAACAACTTGTTTTAGAAAATTTTAAATCTCAATTTAACCCTTGCTCAAATATTTAGGTTAATTCAAGTGGAATATTTTAGAATTTGGCTGGATGATTAATGGATGTAATCTGTTTCAAAGAGCAAAATGCAAATAAGTTTTTTTTTTTTTCAAATAAAACAAATTAATTTAATTGAAATCTCTCTCTTAATCTTTCTCCCATCATGAATTAGAAAATATAAATCAAATCCAATTGTTTTGGAACCAAATTGACATGAACCTAAAATGTTGATCTGTATTCAAATTGACCAAATTCAAAATGGCATCATCCGATTCAGCCATTAAACCAAATAATTTGCATAAAAAAAAAACCAAATAATTGAGTGCAGATTTTTCCCCAATCTTCAATTTGATACACTCTCTACTTTGTCTTTTTTTTTTTCACTGGATAATTATAAAGACCCCTTTTGGTTTTTTTTCCTGATCAACTGACTGAATTTTATGACATTATTATATAAACCATAAACATAATCCTTATTGTTAACTTTATGCTTATGATCCACTGCAGTTCCAGTGCTAGTCCCAAGCACTAAAAAAAATTTTATATTTAGCAACAAAATATTATTGAATAATTTTAATAATATGCTTTAAAATATCTTTTTGCAACATAAAAAGTATTACGTTATAATATATTTTACAAATATATATATTTATGCTCAACAATTATTGCAAATACTTTTGCAACATCTTGTAACAATTTATGTTTTGTAGCAAAAAATTTTATGTCACAATAGATGTGCAAACTGCTAATGATCAAATTTATTGTTGTGAAAGCTTAACAAATAGGCCCAAATTCAACCAATGGATCAATGAGTGTCCACAGGCTTTCTCTTGGGTCCTATTCAAAACCCAAAAAATTTTATGTCACAATAGATGTGCAAACTGCTAATGATCAAATTTATTGTTGTGAAGGCTTAACAATTAGGCCCAAATTCAACCAATGGATCAATGAGTGTCCACAGGCTTTCTCTTGGGTCTTACTCAAAACCCAATTATGATTTTTTTTTTTATTCTCTATTCTTCATTGTTTTAATAAAATAAGAACATGGACACTCTTTTTTTTTTTTTTTTGAAAGAACAGGGACAAAACTTTTTTCAGCTAAAATTGTGATGCATTTGATTCATCAAAGACCCTCGGAATTATTTATTAAAATTCTTTCTATAAATATTACTTTAAATAGTACTAAAATTAATATTTGATGTATTAAGAGTGCGTAACTGCTATATATTATCAATTAATTATACGATAACAATGAGTAAAATAAAAAGTAATCAAATTCATAAAAAAAATATGAATAATATTATCGTATAATTTATTAATATTTATTTTTAAAAGCTTGACTATTTTTTTTTTATTTATTAACGAGATATCATCTTATGATTGATCGATAATGTACGTATAACATTTATACACTTTATTAATATATAAATTAAAAATTAATCAGAACGTTAAAATAAATGAGTGAGATTATAATGCAATTTATTAATATTTACTTTTAAAAAACCGACATTTTTTGTTTAAAACATTAGTGAAATATCATCCCATAATAAGTTACAGTGTCTAATACTTATATATTATCAGTTCATCAAATATCTAGGCATATTGAATTTTTTAGAATGGAAAAGATGTTATCTTTAGCCCCAACTTTTACAAACATTAGTTTCTGTATTACTCTTGATAAGTATCTTCAAAGTGAATCTGTTAGCTGGAAGACAAAAAGAATGAAAGAGATCCTTACCTGTTGATCATACCTGTTAATAACCTAACACCATGTTGCCGTATAAATCAAAAGAAAAAGGTGAAATCTTTGTAGTGGAAAGTAGGCATTACTTTTTTCTGTTTTCTTTTTTTTTTTTCTTTTTACAAAGGTGGATGTAAAGATAGAGAAAATGACGGTGGGTGATGAGTGATTATTTAAATTAATTAAATTAAACCTTGACGATATACTTTTTTTGAAAGGAAAATTGACTATGTACTTGTTTTAATGCAAATCTGGCTTTGAAATTATACCATAGTATATTTATTGCATGATTTATTGATTTTCAAGTTTCAACTAAAAATTATGAATTTTTTACGGTGATTCGTACTCAATTTATAAGGTATTATTTGTTTTGATTTGAAGATTTTATGATTTTATTTCACAAAATGTGTCTTATAAGTTCTAATTTAAATTTTAATTTATATATCATAGTAATTCTTCAGAATATTTTAATATGAGATTGAGATGTTGCAATTCGTCAAGCTCAGCATAAAGTATACACGAAACTAGGATCACATCAAATATTGAGATTTTAAAAGTAACTCTCATCGTATATTATTTAGTTCTTATCTGATTGATGACTGTTTTAATACCCTTCGTAAAAATATGCTCTCAACTGATAAAATATTATCTATTTTGATTTAAAAATTTTATTATTTTATTTTTAAAAAATTTCTTATAAGTTTGAATTTAAAAATCATATTTTATATTATAATAGATTCTCAAAGGATTGTAACGACACACCACTAACCGATAATAAAACTATGGACCGTAGGTATATGCTTACTTTTAAAATATATTCTACGCTTTCAGTCCAATAAGCAGGTTAGAGATATGCCAGAAACATTATAAAAGGGCAAGAGATGGTGTAATTTGAGCAATAAGATTCAGTTGGTATTCACTCTGGATTAATCTCAATCTCTCCCTTCCATCTTTCAATTTCTCAGCTGATCTGTATTTCTGTCAGCCCTTCAACAATGGCTACAACTGATGATCATCTAAATGAGCTTGCCCCAATGGATCAAAATTCAACACCCCAAAAAAAGCCCGAAATTACTCGTGTTTGCACATCATTGCAACAACAGTACCCTCCTGATTTTCTAAGAAAGGTAAAACTATAGCTTTTTCCTTTTGTATAAATAACTTTGTTTGATAAAATTAATTTTGTATGTAATATGTAACAGGTGTTTGCAGAGCTCATAGCAACCTACTTGCTTGTGTTTGTGACATGTGGATCAGCTGCCATTAGTTCCATTGATGAACAAAAAATCTCAAGGCTTGGAGCTTCAGTTGCTGGGGGACTTATTGTAACCGTAATGATCTATGCAGTTGGCCATATCTCTGGCGCACACATGAACCCAGCTGTTACTCTAGCATTTGCAGCTGCCAGACATTTTCCATGGGAACAGGTACATGTTTTTTCTCTTTTCTTTTAGTTCCTGAAACCACCATGTTTTTTGCTTAGGAAACTATGAAAATAAATAATAATATTAGACAAACAAAAATGAATAGAATCTGATCCAATCATATTGATTTTTTTTTTTTTTTTTTGTTGATGATTTCTGAATCCTGTGGCAAAGGTCGTTAGGTTTCATCGACCGACAATTACTCTGACATGGGCACATGGGAATAAGTGAAGAGGGGTCGAGCCCACGGTTCAAATTGTGGATCATTTTGAACCGTCGAGGTTTAGTGGTTTTGAGCTCAAGCTTCATTTAGCCACAATTAATACATATAAATGTTGGAAAAATTCATGGCCCAAACTATATGCAACATTTATTCTGTTTTTTAACAAATGAAACCGCAATTTGAGAATAAAAAACGTGTTACAATATTGAAATTTAAACTTAAAATAAATTGAATTAAACTTTGAGTTAATAGAATATTTTTTCAGTACACTAAGAATTGATAAATTAAACACATGATTGGTATTTATCGGTATGGAAAATAGAATTATTTGAATTTATTTTTATTTTTATTTTTTTTCAAAAAATCATAAAAACTTGTGGTTGGAATTTCTCTTTGGAGTACCACAATTAATGACAAAATTTTTGGGACAAACCTTGTTGGGTTCAATTTCTTGCAGGTTCCATTCTATGGTGTAGCTCAACTTACAGGAGCAATCTCGGCATCATTCACACTTCGTGTATTATTGCATCCAATAAAACATGTAGGCACCACATCACCTTCAGGGTCAGATTTTCAAGCTCTAGTCATGGAAATAGTCGTCACATTTTCAATGATGTTTATCACTTCAGCTGTGGCTACTGATACTAAAGCCGTAAGAATAACATCATATGAAAAAGTTTTTTTTCCTGTTTCTTCTAAAATACTCTGTCTGATCTTTCCAAAAATTATTCAATTTGGTCATATGATTAAGTTTGAGGAATAATTGAATCTTTCCAGTTTTTATGTTTCCATATTGACAGATAGGAGAGCTAGCAGGCATAGCTGTTGGTTCAGCTGTTTGCATAACTTCAATCTTGGCTGGGTAAGCACACTTTATAACTCTTCATTGATGAGTCTGGTCTTTCATTGTTCCTGTTTTTGGTTAACATTATATGCCCAATTCTTGCTCATATTCATTTTTGAGCCCTTAATCACCCTTAACAAAAGTACAATAGCCTTACAAAGGACAGATTCTTTTTTTTTTTTTTGGATTAGTTGTGCTTTGTTTATCCAAAGAAAATCTGCTACAATACAACTACTACTAGCATAGAGTAACATTCACTATTTACGTAGCATTCAGTATAATGGTGTTAATATTCCAAGCAGCGCACAAATACTTATTCACTGAGTCTGCAGCAACCAAGCGCAAGCCTTCTAATCGATTCTTGACAGCATCCTGTACTCTAGGCTCTAGCAAACACCTGTTCAGCTGTCTCTTTTCTATCTCTTTACAACCTGTGTTTCCTTTCTCTCTGTGCCTGATGTATACAAGCACTCTAAGCAATTCGCAAGATGAACGAGATCAATGCTTTCCCTTTCATCCTGCTCTCTGCCCACTACCAAGGAAAGATTTATTCTTTCCAAATTGTTTCTTTAAGATTCTCTTGATATTGATTCTCCAATAGATGACAAAAAAAAAAAAAACGGCATCTAGACCAGAACATAAATACATAAACACAAAAAAAGAAGCCATAAAATACTAACAAGTTGTCTAAGAATATGTCTGTCAGACCAATATCAGGTGGATCAATGAACCCAGCAAGGACCATAGGACCAGCTATTGCTAGTGCTCACTACAAGGGAATTTGGGTATATGTTGTTGGACCAGTGATAGGAACGTTGATGGGGGCATGGTCTTACAATCTTATTCGGGCGAAAGACAATTCGGTGCATGCAATCTCTCCACGTTCCTTTTCATTCAAACTTCGTCAAATGAGGAGCCAAGATGGAGAGGTTTAAAACAAAAAACCTTTCAATGCTCTTTGAGTTTTTATCCATTGTACGACATCAAGGCCAATCCTCATTCCTAACTACCTTTTTATCTTCCTTGAAAGCTTGATTATGTATGTGTTTAGTTGTATGTTATAGTAAATAGAATGAAGATTGGATCATAAAATTATGCTGAAGACTGAAGAAACAAGGAAATCTTGCTGCCGCTGCTACTGCAACATGAACCCAAATCCCCCGCTGTTTGCCAAAATGCAGTTTGGACAAAATAGTCCATATATGCCTAAAGTTCAACATTAAAAAAGAAACCATAAAAAAAGAATCAGAAATTCAAAGTCTGTTTTCAGAACCGCCAAAAAAAAAAAAAGAGTGAAAGAAAGATTATCATAAAAGTCCATGATATTGGATAAAAGTACAGAACTGGGAATATGAATATGCCCAATTCATATTCCCAGTTTTTGGACAATTGAAAAATGACAAAGGAATATTAAAGCTTGGTTATAACCCAGTTTTTGAGCAAAGGAATATTAAAACTTGGTTATACTTTATGGGAAACATTTCCTTCTTGTTACTTAATGTCATTAACCAAAGGAGATCAATTTGCAGGATAATAATACCGGTCAAAATGTTCATAGATGTATATTTTTGGGCTACTATGAAACAAAATAATTGTGGTAACTGGAAAGGAACCAAACTTCAATCGGATGGAATTTATACATAAATAATGCAGCTTTTGAACACGATTATCAGTTTTGTACATCCCAACAGGTTGATCTGCCAACTCAAACATGTTATTCCTGAGGCAGCTGTTGGCATCAGTCAGACAATTGATTAATAGTTTAATAGCAAAAGAAGTTTGGGAAAAGAAACATACCTTACGATTATAAACTGTGCATCCTTTGTCCGATCCTTGACGTAATGTCCAACAATAGAAACATTCTTGAAGTCTGCAACACCATAAAAAAATACTTAAAGGAACCCCAGAAAAGAAAAGGAAAAAAGTTCATGATCTGTTAGAACGTAACTAGAGCTGCATCAATTTCATCCAACATCCATTACGAATGAGCTATATAGTGCATCTTATTTTGAACAGAGGTGTGATCCTGGTTACACAGTTCCTCTCATCTTATCTGAACCACGCCATGTTGGAAATACCCTGCTAATAACTTAAGGCAAGTTTAATCTTATCCTCTATACAAGAGATTATTCACCTAAAAAATACTTCAATGAAAGCTTTCACTTCTTGGTAATTTTTTGTATGTTACATTGTGAGTGCTCTTAGTCCTTAAATCAAATTTTAATCTGTTTTTACTATAACTTTTTCCATCTAATGAGATTTCATAGGTCCTTTTATCACCATTTTTCATTATGATTAAACCAATTTTTGAATTTCATTTTACACTGAGGGCTTGGCAGTTCCTGGTATTCCGAGCGAACTTCAATCAACTGAGCTTACTTCCAAAGAAGAGCGCCTTTCCGGAGGCTGAATTTGATGAATGCAATAATGAAACTCATAGGAATGAGAATCTCGTAGCGAGATGGCGAAAAGCAATTTTAATTGTATAGTTTTGTGGTCTTAATTCAACATGGCGTATATAACTGAATGCATACATAACTGCAAAATGAAAAGAAATTGATCACGTGATCTTGCTCTGCTGTAATTCAATGGTATGTATACTTCTACCATCAGCAAATGTGAAATGAAGCTTGCCTCAAGTAAATATGCTTTTATATCTATTTCAACAAAAAATCTATTTATGTAGGATATGCTTTTACATTATATCCCTAGCATATGGATATGATCAAGTCCTTTAAACTCTGCTCTTTTGACATACGCAAAATTAACATTACTTTTTTTACATCTTGGCATGCGGTTCTTAACAATTCTGCTCTTAAAGCATGTCACATTCTTTCCTGATTTGTCTCGTGAGAGTGTCGAAACTTCCAGGTCGTACGACGGAAGACAGTACTTCGAATTTGGTTCTCTGAGTATAGAATTTAAGGGTTTCATGTTTATTTCCTAAATTTTCATCCAACTATACTTAGCCACATTTTGAGGGCTCAACAGCTCGTCTTGGGAGTGCTGGTTCCTTGCTATATCACATCTTTAGCTGTCAATTACTGGAACAGCCGCAAGCAGACCTATGTTCCATTAAATTTCAATGAATCAGTTATCTTATGATGTTTTCTGATGTCTATAAATAATCTTGGGAATTGGAAACTGTTGGGCGATCCAGGGCAGAGATAGCAATTTGATAAACCGAGGGAAAAATAACAGGAATATCCATCACCTTGATGTAGCATCAACATCTCAAATTATGCCTCAACAGTTCTAGAATATTACACTATAATAAGCTGCTGGATTTGGCAGTAGACAAGCTGTTCTAATGTATCGGCTATGATAATTTTAGTTCTTACCTTATCTAGCATTGTCCTAATTTCTTGTGTAGACTTTGAAAAAGTTACTTTTTTACATGAAAGTTTAGGATGAAGGAAGACTTTCCCATTCCAAGGGCAACGTAGATCGCAGACCTCATAAATAACTTATTTTGGATTTACAGATCACCCACCACGAGAAACTGCTGGCAAGACTCGAACATTGGTTTTATATTTGAAGTATTCGAACCTTACCAACTCAACCAAAATAAGTTATTTAAATTAAAGAATAAGGATTTTGAATTAATTGTAGTATTCTTTTAAGAAGCAGAGTGCTACAGGCAAGACTTGGGGTTTTTCTTAGCTAAGGAATTTGTAAGCTTCGTCTAGTTTTGTGCATTCTCTTCTCAGATTGATCAAATCAGATTTACTTACGCTAGATCTGACCTTGATAAATTCATGGAAAATCATGACTTTGGGTCTTTTAGTCTTTTAGTGAATGGTATTTTCCTTAAAAAAAAGGTGGCAGATAATTTGCTCCACGTCTCCATCCTTTAGATCAAAAAGGCTAGTCGTCCACAAAAAGGGTTATATGCAAGATTGCACCAACAAAAGGTCATTAATGCTCAAATTTAAGATCTCTTACTGTTAATCAACCTTGATTGGTGAATTAATGATTAAGTAACAAGGCGGAACAAATATCTCCATTTAGATTTTAGCATAGTTTAACTCCAAATGGGAAGGGAAAATGTGAAGGAGATGTGTTGAGGGTAATTTGGGTAGTGATGTGGTGGAGGTGAACTTAATGGCAGGGTTGATGAAAATGGGAAATGCATTAAGGTGAATTATGTCGAAATTTGGTTTTTGAAACGCATTTTGATGTTTAAGTCAATCAAATGAAAAATGTTAAGGTAAGAAGATAAAGGTTGCAAAGAGTGAGAAAGGAAGCTCGAGAAAGAAAATTAAAAATAATATACCTGAATCTCTTTTTACTTCATATATGATACATAATTGGTGATAGAACGTAAGCAGTTGGTGAAGAATACAAAGTGGAGTTGATTGGAGTCCACGTGATTTGTGGGTATTAGCATTTAATTATCTCAAACAAGGTGATCTACCCTGGATGAATGATATAAAAATTAAGCGTGTGCTGATTTGATGAACATGTCAGTCAAACTCATTTACATGGCGATTAACGGTAACAAGTTGGAGCCTTCCTGTTCCAAATGGTAAATTGGGAAATCTGAACCCCACAAATGGAGAAATAATCATGAGATTGTAGCTTTAGAAAGCTATATCATGTAACTGCTTTATTAAAAGAGGCAATTCAACAGTTGAGTTGTGGGACTATGGACTTCTACAAGATAAGCTAATGTGGCAATTAGACCAAGGTTGTTGACTTGTTGCAAGGGACCCTTATAGGCCTTCCATTAATTGATTTATATGATGTGAACAAGTGAAGGAAATTTTAGATCTAGATCTCAAATGCTCTAGATCCATGGAAACAATGTGGAAAAACTAAAATTGATAGCATAGTTTGGGTTTTTCACATTATAAGGTTTTTTTTTCCTTGACAAATGAAGATAAATTCTTAGTACATTTTAAGATTTAATCAAACTAAAAAAAAAAAATTATAATTTTTTATGTAAAGAGGCCATGGTTTAAAAAAAAATATAAGTGATTATAAATGTTGAAATTTGAATCCAAATCTATTGGATATTATTTCTTTAATTTTGTTATATGAATTAAATGAATTAAAATCTAAGTTCAACTTACTATTTCTTTTTTTTTTTTTTTTTTGTGAAGATGATAGGATTTGAGCAAAAGGAAAATGAATAAATTCAATACTATAATTTTGCCCAAATCAGAAGTTCAATTCAATTTCTCAGCAATTTACCCCACAATGCCTCCCTAATGTCAGCCAAAAGACAAGTAAAGTTACTACTCAAATGCTCCAAGAGGCAAACATAAATGATAGCACCATGTTCCATATTCCAACCCTATGCATAAAATCTACCCTTTAATTCATGGTAACAGTAGGGCAAAGTATTCAGGAAACCTTTTGCCTTCTGTTCATCCAAAGAGATTTTTTTTTTTTTTTGTTGGTCTTAATAAAAAATGACCCAGCATGGAAAGCCTGCAACATCAGTTACCCCCACCAATCTTGGGTCAGTTGGCATATGTTTACAGATTTTTTTTTTTTCACAGAATTTGCCTCAATAAATGCTGAGCCAGATTAAGAATGTTGGTTTGATTTGCTTTACACAAAAATTTCACAAGTAATCCAATCTTCAAATTTACTTCAAAGAAAGAAACAAAAACCAGATCAGTTAAATAACACCTTCATTGATAAATAGAACAGAGATTAGCCACTCTCATTTAGAGGGTTGGTACCCTCATGAAGTGACAAAGTGGTATAAATCCAGCACATTTCCAGAACACGTAGTAGTAAAAGCATAAATATATAGTTAGCAGTAGTGCAATATCATGTTTAATTATGATTGAGGAACTTGATTTTAAGTAGGAAATAGGGATAAAATAAAATGAAAATGGTAAAGGATTCTTCAAGTTTAAGGGCACTTGGGTCCTCCTTCCTTGGTCTTCCAGTTGTTGTAGCACGGGCACACAGCTTTGTTCCCATAATACCCTGGAGGAACACACAGGCATTTCTTGCAGCATTTCTGACAGAAGAACATACAAGGCTTATGGTATTGGGTCTTGCTGCACCTCCTTGTGCACTGTGATGGGCATTCTGATAAATTCATTCAAGCAAAAACAAAGTTACAAACAAATTTGTCACGTTATGCTTTTTGGAGCATTTGTAAAATTCAAGAAAGGGAAAAGAGATATGTACGTAAGTTGAACAAAAGCATTGGTAGTTCCAAAGAGTTTAACCATGGTTTCAACTGGTTTTGACATGATTCAGTTACTAGTCATTGTCAAATTCTTCTATTACAATTAATATAAAAAAGAAAAGACTTCAACTTCTCCCCATTTTCACATGTTCTGATCTTTCAGCTTAAGGAAACAAAAGAAAATATGAAGTTCAAAAGTTTGCTTACGGTAGCTCTTGAGGCTTCCAGGGCCATAATGTTTCTGCAGATAGAAATTAATCAGAAAAATAAAAGTAAGAATGTGAGAGTTTAATGTCTTGTCAAAAGCAGAAAAAAAGAAAACAAACATTTCAAAGCTTTAAAAAGAGATTAATAATGTAGCATTACTTGATCATAGTCGTGACCGCCCTGTCCATGTGATGCCATGACCTACAATGGAAAGAAATCAAAAGGAAAAATGTCAGCTCCTGGAAATTGCTATAAACTGCTGTTATTTATTTATTTATTTATTTATTTTGCTTCTTTATGTGCAATTTTGCTTTCAATTTGTCCATGAAATGAGAAAGAGGAAAGGTACCCACCAAGGTTTGAAGCATGGAGATGGCAATGAGAGCCAAGAAGAAGGCAGCAACAAGTTTAGCCATGGCCTTTTGCTACAAAGAAAACCTCCCAAAAAAAAAATGTCAAGACAAGGAGGGAAAAAAAGGAGCAGAAGAGAAATCTGAAGTAAGGAAGGAAGAGGGGTTTGGTTGAAGAAGGTGGTTATGGATGTGGGGGGTATAAATAAAGAAATTTGTGTGAAGAAGTTTTGAACTTTGGAAAGGAAAATTTCATATTTACTTACTCATACGGATTACAAATATCTTCCTCTCCATGATCTGAATGACACCTATCCATGACGTTTGAATTGTGCTGATTTCCGAAACTAATTAGTTGTTTTTCACCATATTAGTAATAAAATGCAAATAAAAAAATTCACAAATAAATTTACTACATTTTGACATATGACTATTTAATTGAAAGGTCGCTCGATCAAATCTCATGATATGTGAGTGATTATTTAATTATATTATAATTTTTTAATTGATTATTAAGTAATTATAATTTAATTATGATATATAATTGATTATTCAATTGATTATATATATAATATTTTATAAAAAAAAGTTATGGATAAAAAATATTAAATTGAATGATAAAATTAATATTTTCATACAGATGAAATTCAATTGAGTTTGAATTCACAAAAAAAATAACTTTCTCCCCACCTTAAAATTTTCATTTTTTCTAGATCGAATATGAGAATTTTATTGTATCACATTTTTATTATTGAAATGTAAAAAAAAAGTTTTTTTTTTTTTTAAAATAGATATGTATGATGCAGTATATAAAATAATAACTTTACAAATAAGGATTTTAATAGTATTTATGCAATTCTTTTAAGATTAAAAAAAAGGGTAAGAAATTAAAAATCAAATAAAGGAAAATGTTTTTTTTTTTGGCAAATGTTCCAAGTTAGCAAAGCATTATTGGAACAATTTCATGTAATTACAACAATTTTCTGGCGTATGTTTTTATATCTTACAAAAAATTATACCTATTTTGAAGTAAGATGAGGATGAGTGGTGACAAAATAGACTTCCTTCTATCAAAGATCTACCAAAAATTATAGGGCTATATTCACTAATGTGGAGACTCAATAGCAAATACTTCATATTCATTAGTGAGGCCAAACTGTTACTTTTTCATTATTTATTTTGCTTTGGAGTAAAATGCAATGGATGGGATGGAAGCCGGTTCATAAATTAATGTCATTTTTTTTTTATTGTTAAGCATTCAATTTAAAATCAATTAGCAGTAAGTGAAGAGATCGAATCTGAATATAAAATTATAAAATATTAAAATTTTATTAGATCTAAAATAATCTATTTTAAGATGCTCCCATCATGATGAAGATGGAAGAAGTTTTCTACGTGACAAATTAAGAAAAGATAAAAAAAAAAAATCTTGACTTTGATATCATATTAAATATCCAACTTAAAATTAATTGACAGTAAATTGAAGGATCAACGTAAATATAAGACTATAAAATATTAAAATTTATTAGATGTAAGATAATTCACTTTAACCTTAATTATTCTTGCTAGATGTGGAAATGAAAATGTTTAGATTGGCAAGAGAGAGCAATGGGGCATGGGCAAAGTCATAAACAACCACATGCAAGAAAGAATGGCATGCAAGAGTTTCTTCCTATCAATAATTATAACAATCGTGAATTGTGATATCATTGTCTAATCTTTAATTTTCATCACCATAATGAACATTTAGAAGTGTAATTTTGTGTATTATGTAATTTTAATTTTGTGTATATTAAAATTAAGCCCTTAAAATCTTAGAAAAAAAAATTAAAAAGTTCAACTTGGAACTTTCATGGTTTCATTTGTGAAGAAATAGCTTGAACTTTAGGTTAAAGCTCACATTTTTTAAGTTGTTCCATCTTTTCTTTTCATTGATAATTTGTTCACAAAAGCAATCGTCAATTGCACTGCAATAACTGCAAATTTGTTCCAGAAGGGCCCAAATAAACAAAAGAAATATCGGATAAAGCAGCCATTCGAGTGGATCTGCACTATTTTGTATTGGGCTGAACTGAAAGTTTTGCTTTTAATTGCAGGCTTTAGAGTCCATGCTAGATTAATAAAGGGCTTTACGTAGATTTATTATTATTATTATCAGAAAAATTATTCAATACATCGATGATAAAATTTTTTAAATTTTATAAATATAATTAAAAAACTGATATGTGTCCTATTAAATATGTTTTTGAGATAAAATTAATAATCACGTAATAATATTTTAACATTCTTTGAGAAGTTTAAAAGCTACATAGATTTTTTATAAAATAAGCATATGATTTTACGTGGAATAAATGAGGTGCATTATGAGATATTGCAAGCAAAAAAAATTTTTAATATTAAAGCCTATGTCAGAAACTCATTATTTTTCATGAAAATGCAAGCTAAAAAAAGGAGGATGGATGATGTTATTAGCACTTAGCAGGTGAAAGCATCAGGAAATGGTTTTTTTCAGACATTTCTTTCTATTCAATTTTATGTTGTCGGATTGCAGGACAACTTATAATCATAGTTTTCAAAAGAGACAGCATTTTTTCTTTCCCCTCTCCTTTTTATTACTACCTTGAACCAAAACCATGGATTCCCCACCATTAAGCATTAAGGAAGGACAGCTGTAAGCAAAGTTGTATTGACAAAATCTGAAAAAAAAAAAAAAATGAAAGAAAATAATGGTGAAATTGATGATTTTGCAGCTTAATATATACTTGATTTTTTCCCAAAAAAAAAAATCATAATTTGAGATAAAAAAAATCGATGTTGATATATGGATCTGAAATTTATCATCTTTTAAAAATAATTATGTAAATTAATTGAATTGAGTTTGGATTCAATCATATGTGTAATTATTTGTTCCTTGATCATCTTTTGTTCCGTCAAGCTTTCAGAACAACCCAGATTAGTTACCTACCACATGGGCTCATAGCCCTACAACAGTCAATTATTTAGGTGGTTAAGCCACAACAAACAATCAGATTGCTGGGCTGTTGCAAGCAAACACTGCACCCTGAGAGAAGTCACTGCAGCAAGTTTGCTAGCTGTTGCTAATAACATTCCATTTTCTATGAACTTAAACCCCCTTTTCAATTGGATTTTCTTTTTGAAAATGCTACATTAATCAGTCCATATGGCATTGGGGGCAAGTAGGGCCAGTTACAGATGTTAAGTAGCTATTCCTCTTATAAAACCTCATAATTTGGTTTCTTTTCCAGAAATTTATTAACTGTACAAAATGTAGAGGACGTTGGGTAGATTTGTCAGAATGCCATTATTATGGCATATGGTTTACTTATTTCTGTTCCCATTTGTTTTCCTTGAATTTTTAGGGTTTCCTTGGACCATTACTGCAGGTCACCATGACACCTGCATGACCCTTCCCCCTCTCCTTCACGATATTAGACCAGCCGTTTATCTGGGTTTTTTCTCTCAATTCCCACTTTCCAAAACATTTCTTTTTTTTTTTTTTATTGTTTGATTTATAATATATTGGGATAATTTCACGAATGATCTTTAAATTATAATTAAATATTTCATATAATACTTAAATTTTAATATTTTAAATATAATAACTTCATTATAAATTTATTAATTAATATAATACTTATAATATTATTTATATATCACATGTTATTATTTAAAATTAATCACGTTAAAAATAAGTATTTTATTAATTAATAAATTTATAATTCAAATATTACATTAAAAATTTTTTAAATTTAAATATTATATTTAACATTTCACTATAATTCAGAGATCATTCATAATATTACTCTTAACATATTTGACAAAAACCCCTAATAATATAATCATTCATAGGCAAATGCAATCAAGAAAGTTTACAACTGCTATCAACTACAAAAATCTGTCTGATTGCAAATCGGAAATTGTATGAAAATTTTTTAAAAGAAATATAAAGATATAATTAAAAACCAATGGTAAATTATTAAAAAGAAACCAAAATCTATTATGTCTAATCTAAATTTAAATGGGGATCGACTGTGAACTTGAATTGTCACCCTCAATTTCAAGCTAAGAATTAAGATTTCACTTTTACAATGTTATTGAATGGTGATGTTGTTTTCTTTGATGCATGTAGAAGAATCGACCTATCCAATAATCTTAGGTTGGAAAGCCAATCCCCAAGAATGCTCAATAAAAAAAAAATTTTGTGCGGGGTGTTTGTTTGAGCTTTGTAGTCATTCTTGTCTGCATCAATCTCAAATATATAATTGAAGACCAACTCTTCTAATCAAGTAACTGTTAACCCTACCAGATCCTTTTGTTTTCATTTTTCTTGAGCTTTTAGGTGGGAAGAGAGGAATAGTTTGAGGGAGAAAAGAAAGAAAAAGAGAGAAGGAAAAAAAACTAAAATCATTTTCAAGGATAAAATTTTGCTTTCAAAAGACAAAGTACTAATCAAAAGAATTGCCATTGAATATGTCCTCTTCTAAGGTTTGTCATGTTAGAGAAAATTATTTCATAAATAATTAATTCACAAAATTTAATTTGTCATTAATTGTTTCCAATTTACGGATAAGACTGCCACCACAGCTGCTATTTTCTTCCTCAATTTACAAGCAACTGCTGCTCCTTGTTGACTGCAATTCTTGCTTGAAAAACAGGAAGTTTCAGATTATAATAATATTAATGAATCAATCCCTCGTTTAGGCATAGAAAATTCTCATTGTATTTATTTTTGAGTAAAAGAAAATTCTCATAGTATTACTTCTTATACTTATTGGACATTTGTTTAAACTCTTATTTTGGTCATCCACTAGATTGTAATCTGACAATTTCATCATTTATATATAGTAGGATTAGTGGAATTGCCAACTTTAATTAGTAATTTCTTTGGAAGAATTCCAATTATTAACCCATTTTTTAAAAAATTTAGAATTATATACTACCTCAAATCTAAATTTTCTCAAAAATTTATTAATTTGAGTGAATTTTTTTCTTTTTTTTTTTTATTAAATCATAGCTTTTCAGGTTTTAATAGGTGGGTCTTTTTCTTTTTAAAAAAGGCTTTCATTTTCTCTCAATATGGAGAAATTGGAGGAGACAAATTAATTGAAAAAAATGGCTTCATTGACTTTATTAAATCTTCACATATAAAAAGA